CATTTAGAAACTTTTGTATTGATTACCAAATAGGGTCATAAAATAAAAAAAACTGTGGCTTTGTTAGGGCACCCCCAGATTTATTTATCCACTTAAAATAGTTAAGGTCACATGCAGGGCTCAGGGTAAGACTGCGGTGTGATCCTGGCTCTCTGGTGAGTTTGCAAGAGTTGAACGAGCTTTTAGACAGAGGGTTTGAGGACCTTATAAATATAAAAGAGGTGTAAAATAATTTTGAATTTGCCTTTCAACTTTACTGAAACTAGTCTCTTATGAGGACATTAAAGGAAAGTTGCCAGGATCCACAGGTATGGCCATACAAAACCCCCAAAACCCTGCAAAAGAGGAAAAGAGACCAACAGCAGACTTTTCCTATCACTGGGTTCTCTCTATAAGCATAAAGAGATGCCACTAGTTAAACTTGCATGCAGATCTGCTGAAAGGAAACTGTTGCTATGCGAGATGTTATAAAGAATACTAAAAGTTTACCTGAGAGAACAAAACAATGTGTTTTTGGATGGCTGTGTTTAAAATGTTATTACTTGGAACCAGAATAGAGGACATGCTGGGCATTAAAACTAATACAACAACCTAGATCGTACCAAATGTGATGCATATACCGGTAAGCGAAAAAATCCTGGTTTGGAGCTGCTTTTAGCAGCAAAAAAAGACTAAAATAAAAATATATAAACACAAGCTGAAGCAGAACAAGTCTCTACATCATAACAGTGACCCCAAACATACCAGGTAATCCAACAAGGACTGGCTGAGATATGAAATATCAAAACTCCATCTTAATAAAACGCTGTGGAATGACTTGAAAGGACTGTATAAGCAAAAGAATGATATGTGAAAGTGAGGAGGGGGAGTGATTTCAGAGACAGGATCAGCATCTCACATAGTATTTGGAGCTAAATGCATATGCAAAAACATAAAAGAAAATTATCAAAATTTTTAAAGAACTGCATATTTAATGGGGTATCCATGTAAAAACATTTATCAAAAATAGTCATATGATAAAGTATATATGACGATTAAAAACAGAAATGATCATATGCACCATTAAAGCTCTTTAAAACTGTAATAATAAAGGATGTTTTTATTAGACACATTTGCCAGTATTTTTACTATATATGTCAGTATGTTATATTTTCAAGGGGATAATCTGTGCAGCGCTCTTGGTCTTTTCCTCTGCATGCAGCTAAGGCACGCTACTGTAAGTGGGTCACAGCTTCGCTCTGCATGCTGCTGCACCATGGACTTTGTTGAGCCTAGCTGAAACCCTCCTTAGGCTGATTCAGGGAGAAATAATGGGGCCAGTGACTCCCAATCCCCTGAGGAGCCTCAGCAGGGGAAAGAAGCAAGCTGGCAGGGTGGCCCAGTGGAGCACAGGGGTTAGGCTAGGGTGCCAAAAGAACCAAGCCCCTGACGTACTTTAATTCTACTCACAGTAACACATATAATGCTCTTAATTTAAATGCAATGGGTAAATCGGTTCCAAAGCATAAAAAGGAACAATATCACACAACTTTACTGGTGGTGAACTGTTGGTTAAAATCCAATGGGAACAGGTGTTTAGTAGTAATGAAATAACCAAATCCACTTTCAGCTTCTTATTGTGTTAATTGTGGGGTTTTAACGGAACAAATAGGATCTCCATTAGGAAGCAGCACCTGCACTGCCAGTTTATAAGATGTAAATTTATAAAGTCTCCAAAAATCTAGAAGAACTCTAACTATTTAGTTGGGGATGAAGCTTCCAGCTCACGTCCTAAGGAGGAAATTCACACACCCAGCATACTGTATAGTCTTATTTAATTGCATGGTGAAGAAAGGAAGAAATAATTATTTTTTATTCTCATTTTTGGTTTTCTTTTTCCTTTGCAGGATGTCATTTGTGCAGAGAAGACTGCGGAACACTGTGTTCTTACTGACTGTGTGATGCTGGGTTTTTATGTAAGGCTTGTTTCTGCCTGGTAGCAGAGCAGAGCCTCTATAACTGTGTCACACTGCTAATTAATACAGCTGGAGAAAGCCCCCTGCCGAATGCTTTTGTGTGTGTTTTTGTTTGTCATACAATGTACAGCGCCGTGCAAAGAACTATTCATCCATATATTTTTGATCATGAAGCAAATTATATCAGAAAAGGATAGTTTTCTAATACATATTTTATTTATTCAATTCAAAAAGAGCAAAATATATAATTGCAATTGAAGTTTAGGGATCACACATTGGAGAATGTTACTTCTGCATTTAAAGTTAGTAAGGGGTTAGTAAAACCCGTTCTGTTAATTGTCAATAAACTGTGATTCAGCAAATTATTTGGTTTAAGACCATTCATGCTCTAAACCCTCCAATCAGGAAAAACTTGAAATTAGTTGGTTTAGGGGAGCTATTGCTTTTTTTAAATCTGATTTTAAAATGTACTTAGTCTTAAACTTGTAGTTGTAAATACAGGACAAAAGCAGAAGAAATATGCAAGACATGAGATACTTCTGTAATTGGTTGCTTCTTAAGCGGAAATGTTCTTGTACTTTATATTCAGATTATGTGATCTTTTGAAAAACTATGGCCTGATAGGAAGTCATTAGCTCACTATAAGCTTCCTGATTTCTAAACTAGCAAAGATAAATTATTTTAGAGACAGAGACAGGATATCCTCTGTGTGTACGGGAAGTGATTTGACTCGGTGCCAACCCATTTACATGAAAGAGGAGTCAGCGTTGCACAACACACTGTAACTTGAGACAAAAACCAAGACAAAGCAGTAACTCTTTCAATAATTTATTTCATTTATGTTGGTAGCTATTCATAATTAATACAGACAAAAGCAATACTCGTCTACCAGAATTTATAAATCATATTTATCTCGTGAGCATCACAATAAACAGTATATCGAACTATGTACAACGGAAGACAGCACATTCAGACCGAGTCAAAGTAAAGAACAATCCGTTCAGACACAGAAATTGGGAAATTGCTTTCAGACATGTCATGAACAAAATTTCCCAGCAATGAAAAACACTTGGCAGAAAAACAAAATATACAAAGGTGCAAAAAAGCCCCCCTTTAATGGAAAAGAAGATCAATGCAATGTTACATTTGGTTCCAAAGTTGTAAACTATTTTTGATTCATGTCACTATTGCATATATGCCATTAGGTAAAGTGTGTCAACAAGGCAAATAGATCTCTATAATAAAATAAACCAAGATTATTTTTGTTGTTTTATATATAATCAATAGAGTGAGGGAGAAAAAGCATAAAATACACTGTACAGCCCCAAAGCGACACCCTCCCCTTTAAAAATCTGTAGCCAAATTCTTTACACACGAATATAATTGCAACCGAAGTCAAATCTAAGAACTCTCTGTATACAATATTTTTAGGTAAACTCTTCTCTATTTACATAATATATATATATATATATATATATATATATATATATATATATATATATATATATATATATATATATACACAGTTAAAAGAACATTTTAAAAGATAAATAGATACCATAAGTTAGCTTGGTACAGCTCCAATATTATTTAACACTTTCAAAACCTTTTAAAGTCTGCGGTAGTCCCGCAAAAATCATACATTCACACATGTAAAAGTTTTACAATCTACACCTAAGGGGTTTGGAGCCAGTTGGGGTCGGCAGAGATGTTGCTTAAAGACAGACGTCTCAATAAATGTCAAGATAAAGTGTTTTTGAACACCCCCGCAGCCATTTTGGAGGATCCTTAATTTGACATTCTGCATTTATCTGTTTTGTTTTTTCTGTAACTGAATGAAATCTCAACCATCTTATACGCCACTCATCGTTTGATTACATAGTTTTCACCGTTACTAGTACAACCTAGTAGCTAGCAGCTAACGTCAGCTATTGTTAGCAAAGTTGCGATGATATACAGCAGTGTACTGAGGCAGTAATGCTACATGTCAGCATTCACCCATATGCTTAAAGTTTTCACTTGAGATATATTATTAAACTATTTAATAGTTTATTAGCGAGAAACTGAGCTCATTTCATTACAGTCCAGAATTTGTGTTGAAAGCTTTTAGCTAACGATTGCTAATGTCAGAGAAGGCTCCAAATAATTCGGCCATTTTCTACCTCATTTTGTACCCATTGGTTGCCCTTTACATTTTGTACCATAAAAAGACATTTAATTACTTATAATATTTGGGTTATAAGAAAGAAAACCTTAAGTTTATTTCATTACAATCCTGGGTTTTGTGACAGCCGTTAGCTAACATTTGGTAATATTAGAGAATCGGTTTAATTCGCACTTATTGCCATTTTTATCCCAAACTCCCTCAGTTTAAAGTATGTTTATTGTTAATTTTTCATGATTTTTGTCGATTTTCTATCACATCCTGCGACAATTGTTAACCAGACTTCTTTTTAGAATTCCCTTTAAAGTAACTGACCATCATAATTTACTTTTAAATAAGCATTTGTCAAAGTATCTATTGGTTTTCCTTGATGTGGGTACAAAATTAAGCGTTACTGGAAATGTCTTTTGTCAATTTGTTGGGTAACAAAACCACCAAGGAACCACCAAATATTGGGAACAGTAAATGGCTCGCACCTTTTAGCTATGCGTCCTCATTTTTATCGCCATTTGGTGATAATATTTATTTTTCACTTCTATCAATCCCCTCCGACGTCTAAAACATCTAGAAAAATCAACACTGTTTAATCATTTACACTAGAATAAAGCAGTGATTTAGGATCCTTTTTGAAACTCCACAATTGTGTCAGATGCTACTGTATTTTTTAAGTTATGTATTCTTCTTTGTCTTAATCACAGATACGTTCTCAACTGTGCCCCCAACCTTTCGCAATGTTCAGTTTGCATTGGCTCAACCCCTCCTTTATCATCTCAACTTTACAGTTGTACAGTCAAAAGATATCACAGCAGGGTGGCCTGTGTCAGTCAGAACAACAAGCCTTTGGTTTGAAGGTAGGAGTGTTTGAGGTTTTCAGGCTCAAGTGACTGAGGAACTGTGAGAGGTTCAGTGCCTGGTGTGTTTTTTTTTCTTTTTAGGGTCTGAGTTAAGTAACAAAGACATGCATAACATTATTATTATTTAGAAATAGTTTTCTTTTTCTATCCGGACCAAAAAAATAAAATGGGTTTGAATGAATAAAATTATTTAAGAAAATACTTTTAATATTAATATTAATAGAATAAATCCGATATCAAGCAGCCAAACTGGTTCTGTACATTTCAGAAATAATATATATTTAATGGTAAACTATGCACTTTGCTTTTCACAAGATAACAATATAGAGATGTAGGTCTAAACAAATATACCCTATATATATATCTATCTCTTATTTCAAAGAAAACATAAGGAAAGTATACACATTAAGGCATTTCGTAGGTCTTATCAGACATTCATCATCCAAAAATAAATAAAACGTCTAATGTATATCTTATATATAAATATTTGTATTTACTCAGTGTACCTTGGTATTCCATCCCTACAGCATGTTTGAATGGTTCACTGACACACTTGTTGCTCGTACTGAGTCTAAGATACAAACACTTGCACACTGACGTTAAGCTACCCTCAAGTAAATAATGGTATCTGGGTACCATTAGAGATTTGTTATTGTCTGACTATCGTTGCTTCTGTGCTTGTGCCACTATTTAGGTCACAGGAGAAATGGCCTCTCAAAGTGCAGGAGAAGTACCAACACACATAAACACCTACACTGCCTTCAGATACACTACATATTTAGGATGGTGACCTGTTTTTCTTTTTTTTCTTGGGTGCGTGCTAGCTGGCGGCTTGCGATGATAATAGGTCTACACAGTCTTTTCGGGTCACAGAGCCCCGGCGGAAGGGCAAAGTCTTTTTTTCTTTGTTTGCTTGTTTTTGTTTCGAGCAGCAGGTCAAGACACCAAATCCGAGGACGAGCCACGTCCTTCAGTCTGCAAGAGATGACAGAAAAAAGGAGAAAAAGTTTAGAAATAAACATTTAACATTTTCAAAAAGACAAATCTACAATAAATGTCTTGTTAATATAATAGAAAATACGGTATAACACCGGTAACTTCCGGTTGCTGTTAGTGATGTCCCTCCCCCACCCGTTGCTGAGCTTTCCTGGTAAATGTCTGAGATAACTACACCTTTACGTTGCTTAAAAGCACACAAAAAAAAAAAATGTTTTTCTCACAATATGTTTGGGTTTTGAAATGCTCTGGCAGTTATTAAAAAAGAGCTCTCGAAAATCATGAAATTATTAAATCCCATACTTAATATTTAGGTCCAATAAAGATAATAAAGTTGAAAAACCACATTTCTTTTGCATCATAATCTTTCTTGCAGTTAAAATTTTTATTGAGATGCAAGGGCTGTTTTGTTTTTCAGCTTTGGGGAGTTAATTACTTAGAATGGGATTATTTGAATTTAATAAGAGTAGATCATGTTAACCGAGAGGTTTTAGCATTTGTTTGTTTTCATCAAATAAGCATTGCCTTAAAAAATAATATTTCTTAGTTAAATAAGCTTAAAAATAGATCTATTTACCCATTTAATTGATACATTTTTGCATAAATACCCGACTTAAAAGCCGAACAATAAACAACATTACAGATAGGATTATGATACATAATGTAAATTATTGTAAATCTTGCTTTATCATGCATCATTGTTGTTTTTTTGTCCGTCTCAACCCATGTTTGTTCTTTTACTACGCTCTCACAAACAACACTGGCGCCAATTAAGCAGACCTCTGAGACAGCAGACGTAAGAGCATCGAGGGAACACCGTGTTGCTTTTTGTACTGTACAGTGTGAACCCATTCACAGAGTCAGAGGATTGTTTTTCCTGCCACAGAAAAAAAAACAAAAAAAAAAACACCAACAAACGTCACATTTTGCTTAAATATCCAGAACAGGAAGTTCTGCTCTCCTTGTTTATTGCACTTATCTGCATCCATCTGGGTGTATGCATATTGACAGGGATATTTATTCCTCCTGACAGGAAGTGTTTTACACATTCATTTGTGGAAAACAAGAATAAAGGTGATGTTTAAAAGCTAAAGCACCAGCTGCTGCCCCTGGAAGGCTCTTGAAGGACAGTTATGTTTATATACGTCGTTGTGTGTTGGACAAGGCGGCTGTTCTGTAACGCTCGTGTAATTACATAATCTGGGATGCAGAGCGGTGGGGGCTGGGGCAGAGAGTGTATATGTGTGAGCGGGGGGGGGGGGGTTCTCCTGTCGCTGTGCTGCTCTTGTTGCCATGGATACACGCCGAGCACAGGAGGCCGGGCAGCAAGCTGCAGCATCTGTGATATGAAGCGCACGGACAGGAACTCTGGTTGTGTTTAACAGATGTTCACGCAGGGTTCGCTCGCATGCGATTGGAGGCTGAGCAAAGAAGGTCAAATGGAAAAGTGCTGCTATTGGAAGAAGTGGAAGAGTGAGGTGCATTTTGGCCAATTGCAATTTTGAAAGGGTGGTTTAAAAAAAATAAAAAATTAAGAGGCTTGTCTTATTCCTGAAAAGTTGTTCGTTTAGAGAAACTAGAGAAAGAGGAAGGAATTAATAAAACAGTCTTTTTTAAATACAGTTTCTAAATTTTAAACTTCTTTTACTAAGATTTTGAAAATGTGAAGCCAGCAGGCTGTAACAAAATAATAATAAAAATTCCTTGCTTATAAGAGAGACAAAATTTACCAATATGTTCCGCAGGAAAGGATGGGAAGTTTAATCCCATCATTTTTAGGTGTATATGATTTAAAAAGAAAATGGTCTAATGACAATAAAACTGAAAACAAAACGTTTATGAAAATTCAACACTCATAATGCTGTCAAATTTAGCAAAATAAGCCATCATCCCAGTCACAGGCAATAAAACAGCATCATAGACCCTCCTATGGAGGTTAAGGAGGCCATGCACATAAATAAATCCATTCTGCAGGTGTTTGTTCCATATTTTCATCTACCACCAGGTAAAAATGCTAAAATTAAGAACATTAACTAATTATTGTTATTAATAATAATTGTTGTCATTTCGTTTTCCAAGATATTGATATGTAATATAAGGTGTTGTTCCAGCCCACGCCAATTACTGACAGAATTCACTCCTTTCTGATTTGCTGATATACCTTTGAATTGTCAATTTGATGCATTTATGAAGGGATGTGCGCTTAGGATGACGAAACGCAGCCAGCGCATGTTTGCACCTTGGGTTACGTATTCCCCAGCTGCTGACCAACGACCAAGCCTCTTGTCCTCATCGCGATCCCCTCCCCCCCCCTCTCCACCCCCAACTATCTAATCCCGCCTGCGGAGGCTGTAATCTACTCTGGAGCCGTAGCCGGCTAAATGTGGGGAACGCTGGCCACGCAGTTAGTGCTTCTGTCTGGAACATCCCGGCCTAGTTTAGCGCCCACCTCCCCCACTCACCTCTCCTCCTCCCTGGGCCATCACAAACACACACACACATGTACGCTGCCTGGAAACTCTGACTGAATATCCTTTGAGGCTACGTGCGTACGTTTGTTCTGCACAGATCATGTAGCATAGCATTTCTGGATTTCCACCCTTCAATGCACGCTTGGCCTTTTGAGATGCCAGCAGCAAAAACGCTGCTCTTACACGAGAGTAAATAAAGTATATAACATCTGGTGGATTTGCATAGGTTGACAGCAGGGGTGGACAGGGCAATCAGGCTGATGGGTACATTTAGGTGTCACTGCAATGTGTAATTCTGCAAACTATACAGAAAAAAAAAAAATCAAAATATGCATCTAACTGTACTCTAAAAAACATCTGCTGCAATTAAACGTCATAACCAGAATTTCATTATTTTAAATATTTTAATTCACTGTCACATTTGATTCACTTTCTTTTTCTTTTTCCATCCTTTTAATTTGTTAATATTTTTTTTTAAATCTTGCACTTTAAGGAGCATTTTTAACTATTTTAAATGGTAAGAAAAAAAAGATAAAGCTGCACACAGATGACTAGACTACTTCCTGATTTAGTGAATAGATCAGATGGAGTTAATTTATCGCTATACAAAAGTTAAGGAAGTACACCATGTCTTCTAAAGAAGGCTGAAAGCTGATTGGCTGAAAAGATCCCTTAAACAAAGGATGGGAAATCTACGTAGGTAAGAGGATTAGGGCCACTGGGGAAAAAAAAAGGGTTAACTGATTTTTAAATTTTATTTCAGTTTAACATGGGAAAAAAGTCAGAATTCTGACTTTTTCTCAGAATTCTGACTTTTTTTCTCAGAATTCTGACTTTTTTATTGTCAGAATTCAGTAAGAATTCTGAAATTAAAGTCAGAATTCTGAAAAAAAGTCAGAATTCTGACTTTTTTCCCATGTTAAACTGAAATAAAATTGGCCCTAATCCTCTTCCGTAGAAATCATAACCTGAAAAAATACAGAGAATATGAAATTTATAAGATAGCCAAGTGAATAAGGAAATTAGATAAATTATTTAATAAATAAAAGGAAATTCATTTCAATAATTTGATTTAAAAAATTAAAATCATCAAAAATAAACAAAATTAAATAAATATATTTTAAAACTTAGACTGAGATGTAGATGTATCTATATTACAGGAAGACATGCTGGATACTCAGTGCTGCAGCATCGTCCCTGCGATGACATCACTCACGGCACAACTCAGCGGATGACGTCAAGGATTGGGGGGGGTTGGTGAGCGGGATTTGAGAATATGGATGTGGATGCATCTAATCTGGTTTACAAATTCCTAGCACACAGTTGATGCTGATGGGGCGTGCTCTCTGCGGCCCGAGGCAGCGGCAGATGGTAGTCTGTCATTAGCAGAGGGTGAACTGCAGCCGGCCGTATAGAGAGGTCTATGTGTTTTAATGCCGATATGTGCACAGGGCATGAAGAAAGTCCGGGGTTGCAGCTGTTTGACCCCTCTGCCCCTTTTATTACAAGCCCAAACCTCTAACACACTAACCCTCTGAAAAGTGGCCATCTGCCACTAGTGCTCAAAGTGAAAGAGCAAGACTCCTTCAATCACGCTCACCCTTAACCAATTCTTTCCACATGCATCTATTCCCCACCACCCTGCTAAGATCTACATCTGTGATCCGCAGCTGATTTGCTGCCAGGGGCAGATGAAGGTGTTAGTTTGGACGTGGAGGTGGAAACAGACACGGCTGACTTTGCTAATCTGGGTCGGGTACAGAACATCCACCTGGCTGAGCCGTGGCTCGCCGGAGCCTTGAATCGGAGAGCAGAAGTAAACACCGCCAGCCGGTCACGTGGGCTGAGAGGCCGGTCAAACTGGAGAGGTAAACAAACTCCTGACCCCAATGCCAGGCGTCTGAGCCGACATGGTAGGTGGGAGGTTTGAAAAGAAAACATGTCCAGGTGTAAAAACCAATCATTGGACAAAGTGGCAGCCATCTGTGCTGTCCAGTTCACTCACTTAGGGCTAATTTGTTTGGGGTACTTGCCCTTGTAAGCCATTCAGCCAAACTGGATTTCACTGAGAAGGTTAACCAATCAGCAAAGGTGTTTAGCTGGAATGAAAAAAAGGTTGTAGGGTTTGGGACAGAATTCCCAGCAGGACATCCGGACGCATCGAATAACCTTCTCCAGACGGAATCTCTGCCAATAGCCCCTGCGATATTTTACGGGCCCCTGCAGACGGGCAATTAACCCGACTTCAGAGCCTGAGCGTCTTTAAAAAAAAAAGAGCATTACAAAAAAGAGAAAAACTTCCTCCAACCTCTCCGTACACAAGACCACGCTCCATTTCCCTCCTGCTCTCCGCCTGTCTTACTTCTGGTAAACGAACAGCCTAATGAGGCAACAGGGCAGCAGAATGCACGTGTCATCCTGCCCCATTATACATGCTTTCACTAGTTTCCTCTCCCTCAAGCTGCAAACCGCTGGAAAAACAACAGTCTACTATAGGTCTCAGTGAGGCAGGCTGCACCAGTGGAGCAGCTCTGCATGCGTACGTGCAACAGTCCACATGTATGTTCTTTCCTTTCCTCCACCCTCTACCATGTCGGCGAGAAGCTTTATTAGAGCAGTTAAAATATTTTCACCCTCTTCGAAACATGAGCTGCAACACATGTCGACAACCACGGATAGAAAAACTAATTATAACAAAAGCTGCTTTGACTACTTCCTGGCCCCTCCCCCACCAGTTGCTGTGCAAGACTGACAGCTCATAAACATGATCAATACATTCTGATTTTCTGTCATTTAATTACCATAATCAAAAAATATATTTTGAATGTATTTCAAATCATGCATTCCCAAAGACGACATACTCCTCTACATGCTACCACCTAGGAAAGTCCTAGCGTTGATGTTTTCAAAGCGAAGGCAAGTTGAACTCCTCCCAACCAGTAGGTGGCGCCCTATCCCTAATAGCTCTAAAATCACGGAACATTTTAGTTCTAAGTTTAAGTAATGTTCATTTTACCATAAAACCATTTAAACAAAACAAAAAGACGTATTGATTGGCGTACTTTTTAAGAGCTTTCACATAGTATTTGTTTTTATGATTCACTCGCAATGTGCAACTAGTGGGGGTGGGGCAATGCTGATGTTACATTAAGAGGCGCTGCCCGAAAAAAAAAAAAAAAAAAAACACATTCCGGCCTAAACCAGATCCTGAACCTGGAGGGGAACGGGATAAAGGCTCTTCAGGAAAAAGGGATAAGTTTCCATCTTTCGGGCTTAGCTTGCTGAATACCACCTTGTTTACCAACGTCACTGACTGTGCAAATATGAAGAACTTAGGCAGCATTTTTCTTGACCGTGTGCTAAAAATGAAGCGTAACCCCTCTCTCTCTCTCTTTACAGAGGGGGTTTGTGGAGAAATAAAAGCTGCTATTCTAAAGGCCAGCAGCCCAGACAAAAAAAACAACAACAACAACTAATTCAAAGCAACTTTTAAAACCTTTTCAGTCATGACATAAACCGTGACCTTCAGTTACCTGAGAACCAAACTCCCACATACTTGTACTGAAGCCTTACATGTCGGGGGTCTACACACCAATCCTCCTCCCCCAAACTCAACCCTGCAAAGTCTCTACGTGCTCACAAGCACTCGCGAGGTCCCCTGGGATGCAGGGGTCAGACCTGTTTACCATTGCCTGCCAACAGCTCTTGTTGGCTCACAGGGATATTCCAGGACAAAGTATTGATTGCAGGACAGTGGGAAAAGTGGGGAATGGGGGGGTTGTTGAGGTCAAATTGATAAGCAACATCCAAATGCGTGTCCAAGTGGAAAAACAACAGCCGGAAATAACATTCCAGCTTCTATTCCGGTGACATTCCATTACTGATGTCAAGCCACGCAAAACCTATTAAACACATTTAATGGTGAAACTGAAAAGCTTCTGACGTATTAATTCTGAACGTTTTTTTTTCTAATAATCCCGTATCTGCGGTTTCCATTTATCTTCACAAAAATGAACCAAAAAAAATTCCACATCAAGCCCTGGTAAGCATGTGGCTTGTATATTTCTGACATCTGCAGCCGCAAAGCAGCGGCAGTGCTCCTCTGTCATGGTGCTTGTTTACTTCTAAGCTCTGGTCACGTTTCACCACAGCCTTGTGCTGTGTTCACATGCATCAGGGAAAAAGATGGGAGAACAAAGTTCTGTGGGAAGAGTTTCGAGAGGCTGTAAAAAAACAAACACTTTTTTTGTTTTGCTCTAGTATTCTGCTATTCCTTTAAAGGTTAACATTTAGAAGCAAGGGTAACCACAGATAAGACTTCAGAGCCAATGACGGGCTGCTGAAGGCCCAACCTACTTGTGTACTTTGAAATTCACAGAGCTAATTTGAAGTACAGAGGAAATGCCTCCAGCATTTTTTCCCTCACTATGTGAACAACTAAAAAGCAGCAGCTTTTTAGAGCAGCACTTGTTAGAAATAAAGACTGAGTTCAACTCTTACAGATTTGCGGTTTTGTACCCCTACCTCTTCCTCATATACTTATATAAGTAGGTATATACAGTTTGCATGTAGTTATGTACTTTCATCATAACCAGCCAAATCAATACTTACTCCTAGTTTAAGCCGATGGACTCTTATCTGATACCAGACATGACTCAAACCCAAACAACTAATGTTTTCCTGATGGGTAAAAACTGTAAATAACCGAGGTTGGTACTATAGGTCTCCCTGCAGGTGCCTCCATTCATCTAAATACTGGTACAGACACCCTAAATTAAAAAAGTACAAGATACCAAAGCAGCTAGGGATCTAGCATCCTTCATTAATACAGTACTCACCTTTGGCAGTGGTTGCAGCCTCCTTGAATCCCAGACAGACATAAGGTGTGTTGTGTAATCTGTTGACGCCCCCTTTGCAGCTAATGGTGGGTTTAAAGCCAACCAGGTCCCCACATTTCTCCACATCTCTGTTGTCCAGCAGGTTCAAGGCGATATAGTTGAGTCCGTTAGGGTAGCCGGTTGAGCTGTGGCGGTTCACGGGACTGCCGTACTCCTCGTCAGAACCCTCACTGCTGCGCGATGAGATGTTCTCCACCGAGCTGGGCCTCTTCATGGCGTCGCCGCGTGCGAAGGAGGGAAACACCGGGGTGACGGTGGCTGTGGAGGAGAAGGTTTCCGAGCTGTGGCGGCGGCGTCCCTGCGGATTGGCCCGGATGACCTTTGCGGAGCAGTCTGGGTCCACAATAGAGGAGGTCCCTGTTCCAAGCAGGAAGACCCCAATCCGTTCAGGAACACCTTGGTCCTCAAGGGATACCCTCCTCTCCCTGCAGCTCTGGCTGTTGGAACAATGTTTTAAAATTAACATTAAAATCAACAAACAAACACTGGTGTGTTTTATTTTTCCTTTCAGGAAAATAAGATTCTATCCACTGAGTTATCCATCATAGTGGTGAAATAACCATAGACAATGCTAGAAAAATACATTTCACAGAGGAACATACCTTGAGTTCTGAGGAACAAGCTGTGGGGGGGAGCTAGTCATCCCAAATGTCATCTCAGTGTAGTCATTGTTCACCACATTGTCGTAGCTTCGGGGACTTTTCTCACTTTCTATGTGGTAAACTACATCCTCATCTGAGCCGGGGCATGAGGAATGCTCTGGCAGAGTGACCAGTCGCTCAACAGGAGTGTCAGCCTCTTTGGGTGAGTGTGAACCCAACTCTAGGTTGATGTAGTCTGAAAGGGATGACCTTCCCTGGCCTCCACTGCTGGACCCCAGAGATGAAGACTGACTCTCGGTTGACATGACCGATGGTGGGGAGGATCTGTTGCTGCTGAATTCAATGTTGATGTATTCACCAGGGCTGCGAGGTTCTAAGGGAAGGGGATGCTCATTCATGCTAGGCAGGGTTCTCAGGGTGTCTAGAGATAGCCTGTTGGGTCTCCCCAGCCTTCCTCTGTAAGCCAGACTCTCTGCTCGACGATTCCTGCCTGGGGAGGGAACTGAGGGACTCAGAGGGGACATCTGACCTGCAGATGGCTGCATTACTGAATAATAGTCTGACTCCCCGGCCCTCTGCCTTGAACTCTGTGGGCTCATCAATACATACTGGCCACTGTCTTCATTCTTGGATGACTGAAGTTTTGCAGGCAGTGTGAGGGAGCCCAGCTGGTAAGTTGGCCTTATTGGCGATTGCTCCCCAGTGACCGGGCTTAAGTAGTAATCAGGAGGTGTCTGCAGAGGTGGTGGGTTTCCTGGTGACATGTTCATGTACTCGCCGTGTCTGTCAGGGCTGTCCATTGAGGATTTGGAGCCGCACCACATCCTCATGTAGCCATTGTCTTCCAGAGAGCCACTACACGGGGAGTTGGCCTTGTAACTGCCATTGGAAACTGCCTGTGGATGCACCCTTGGGTTGACAATTTGCTTTGGTGCTGAGACACACATAGGGCTCATGGGCACATAGTTGTCTGCCTTACCAGACTGGGGTGCTACACCTGGTGTCATGGGCATATAACCATCATCACCAAGGTTGCAACTGGAGCTCCGGGATGAACCAATTTCTATGTCGCCGTAATCCTCTGGATAACACACTTTGGGTGAAGCAGATTGGGAGTTTTGTCCATTGGCCAACCTCATCAAAGTGTACTCATCCAAGGAAGCTGAGGACAGTGGGGTCACCACTTTCTGTTGCCGTGGTGTGGTGAGAGAGTGTGTTCTCTTCCTGTATGCCTTGTCAGAAATCTGACCGTCGATCCCAAAACCAGACCTGCTACCGTTAGCCATGTCCATTAGCATGTAGCCACAGGGGTCACTCAAGTCATGAGAGGGTGGTGTGCTAGACAGGGAGTCTGGAGTGTCACTTCTAGTCAAAGTAAGAAACTTGGGTTCACCTGGGCTTAAGCTGTAATCATCACAGAGAAGGAAGCCAGTGTCGCTGAGGGAGCCAGATATGGAGGCACTGCAGCTGAAGGGTCTTCTACCTTTGTCTGGTGTTGAGACTCTTGCTCCTCCTCTGGGAGACACACTAATAGGGCTGGAGGCAGCAGGAGGGGAGTTAGATACCGGCATTGAACGACTATGATGGAGATTGGAAGCAGACTCCAGCATCCTGCAGGTGCGCCCATTGCTGAGGGTGTGGGACCTCATGAGGTGATTCCCAGAACTGGGACTGGAGGGACTTTCAGAAACCGGTATAGAAATCGACACAGGCCTGGTGACGCTCCCATCTCCCTCACTGGCCGTCCTAATGCGACAGGATGTGAACTTCCTCCCTGGTGATGTGGCAGCCATGCTGTCTGTTCTGGATCTCCTAACCAGGCCGGTCTGACTTGGGGGGAGGTTGTTGAGGTTGCGCCGGGAAGGCACAGAAATTGGGTTTGTGCTGGCAGACTGGCTTTTGCTCCTCGGTCTAAACTCAGAGAGCTCCTTCATGGCCTTCATCGCCTCTAAGATGGTCTCATGGATGTTCTGAGCTACCACCGAATCCTCTGCCTGCATCCAAAATTCCCCTGGCCCTGTGACTGCAGATCTGCCCACCTCTATAAAGAAGAAGCTGTCCGAGTGGCCACATCTCCTGATATTCATGAGCTGGAGATTGACTGCTGCTGTTTCAGTGTTCAGCTTGACAAAGCTGATGTTTCGGCTGGATAAACACAGCCTATACACTCCGGTGAGGTTTTTGATCTGACCCAAGCCTCTGGATTTTAAGTTCACCTGCCACACCTCCTTATAGGCTGCTGTTGCAGGGGAAAGTTGTCCATAGGTTGTATCCTCAAAGCCTACTAATGAGGATGTGGAAGCAGGGCTGTCAAACACTTTGCTCTCTGCAATTAAATCACTCAAAACGGTATACCAGCTCTCCTGGTCCTGCTCGTTTTCTGCAGCCACAGCAAAATACTCGTCCTTGGTGTAGAGGGCGATGAGGTACTTGTGTTTGGCGTCGGCGCGTTTATTTACGCACAGACAAGAGTCCAAAGTGATGACGCGCTTGGCGGCGGACTTGTTTCTCCATTTCTTCTCGCTTTCATAATACTCCAGCCGAGCAGGGCTGCGCTCCGTGGGCTCCCGCAGCACAAAAAAGCGCCTGTGTCCGTGTTTCTGCTTCCGCAGGTAGCCGCACTTCTTCAAGTCACTCGTCCCATTAGATAACAGGTGTCCTCCCGTTGCAGGAGGACTTGCCATTTCTCCAGAATTAATAATAATAATAATAATAATAATAATAATAATAAAAACACTCACTGTTAAAAGAAAATACCTTAAGGTGACCCGTTCGATTTATTCCACAACTGCCGTGTATGCACGCTGCGGTAAAAGAAAGAAAAAAAACAGCAGTGCTTGTAGATCAGTGACCGCTCTGATGCTGGAGGAAAACAACATGTGACGCTGCTGCTCTAAAAACAGAATAAAACACAGAGCCAGAGGGGGCGGGGCGCCCCGCGAGAGAGACAGAGAAATGTAGACAGCGCTTTGGAGACCTTGTCCCGTAGGAAAGATACGTCAGCACAGCCGCCATATTGTGAGTGGCAAGTTCTCCTTGAAAAAAACAAGTTTACTTGTAAAGTTAACCCAGATAGATAGATAGATAGATAGATAGATAGATAGATAGATAGATAGATAGATAGATAGATAGATAGATAGATAGATAGATAGATAGATAGATAGATTTATTTATCACAAGCTCGTAGTCTTTAATATTTTTTTGTCTAGACATTATTTTCAAAACAAGAGACTAAAAGAAAAACCTGTGCTACTTAAGGTTCAGTTAGGGAAGAGGATAAGGGCCACTAAAAAAAAAAAAGTTAATTGATTTAAAAAATAAATTATTTTATTTTAATATGGGTAAAAAGTCAGAATTCTAACTTTTTTCTCAGAATTCTGACGTTTTCTCAGTATTCTGGATCTTAATGTAGATGGAAACCACGAATGAAGATATGTGGGAGAAAAAATTCAGAATTCTGAGATGAAAGTTAGAATTCTGAGATTAAAGTCAGAATTCTGAGAAAAAAAAAGTCAGAATTCTGTGATTAAAGTCAGAATTCTGATTTTAAAAAAGTCAGAATTCTGAAATTAAAGTCTTTCGTATTCAGCTGATACATTTTGATAACAGAAAATATTATTTGATGGAACATGTAGTCCATTTAATGTTTTTTTTCCCTTCATGACCATTTATATTATTGTTTTATATTAAAAAATCAACACTGCTAGGAACAGCCTAATAATATAAGGGAAAACGCCTCTCATAATATGGTGGACCACCCGGATGATCGTGCGGCTTCTACTTCACAGAATCTATAACCTCCGCCTGTCTATCGCCCAGAAGCCCCGGCGCCTATTGGCCAATCCAACCATTCAAAACAGACAAGCCCCGCCCCCTGCTTTCCCATCACTTCGCTTTCGCACGTAGAAACGATAACAGGAGGATCACCGCCCGGTGTAAACAATCCCCGAAAATACCAGGGTAAAATGAAAGCGAGACGGAGAACAGAAAAACACATTCTAGAGACTTGTTTTGGCATATCTATGAGTCACATGCAAATCTCGCTGATCAACTGTTAAAAAGAAAAAAAGAAAAAAACACCCCTGTGTTTTTAAAGTGATTGTGAAATGTTTGGGTGTTATTTAGATTAATGAGGATTGGAAATTTGCAACACAATGCTTTCACAGTGATTACACCCATTAGATTGTAGAGGCAGGGAAACTGTAAACAAAGCTCACGTCCAACTTGTTATATAAGGACTGTTGTGGCCTATTTTTAAAACTGTGGGTATTCCTCTTCATTAGAAACATCATGCTTTCTATTTTCGTCTTCCAACATTCTTCCTCTAATTTAAGCATTAGATTAAAACACTGGTTCAGCTTATTATCTACTTTTTTTTTTACTATATTAAGCTTGCATTTTGCCAGCATCTGTAGAAATAATCCATCTAAATGAGAAACAGCCATCTCACTCTAAAGCAAATGCGTCAGAGGTTTCAGTCTGCAGTAATAGTTTGAAGCAATGCTGCCATCAGATGGCTGAAGGGCTTCATGCCACCTTCCTACTTACAAGTTTTCTTTTTAAAGGTTCAAGAACAAAGAAAAAGATAAATTGGCTCTTATAAAGAAAATAAAAAACTGTGAAATGGTTGCTTTTAGACATATGTTCTTCGGATTATCCTGGTAATTATGTCAATATTTCTGTCTGTGATCCCCAGGATCATTAAACTGCGTCCATGTAGGGATTACTTTTTATATAATCCCCAAACAAACAGATTACACCTCAAACTCCAAGGTGTTAAGAGTGATTTATGGGTGTCTCACGCTTCTGAATAACCAACAACCACATAGATTGACTAGATTAAGACTAATCCTAGTCTTAATCGCTATTGTTCTCGGTTTCAGTGTCATTGATTCAAGTTGGGCCCTTCTCTGGATTTTGTTTTGCATTGGAGAAAAGAGCTTAACCTAGCAGCATGTTTTTTTGCAAAAGGAAAAACATAAACATTCCTGGCAGGATAGAGAGAGAGAATCACAGACAAAAAAAAACAAAGAGATTATTTGTGACTTAAATCTTAACGGTTAACGGATAACAGTGATTGTTTTCATCAGCCATTCCCAGATACGTTTGTGACTGGCGGGGCCCATTTTAGAAGGGTTTATGGTTTTATTTTATAAATAACTTATTTCAACCTGTAAAATATAGAAAATTTAGGACCTTAATGATACATCATCCTTATAAACTAGAGCTAGTGACGGAGTAACACAGGATTCAATGGGTTTATTGTAGATGTGGTTCCTATTACTAACAATATTTGAAAGAATCAGGAAAAATCCCTTTTATGCTGATGATACTTTGCTATATAAATCTGTAAAACAGGTGAATTAAAGTAGATTCTCATCCTTGTTTGGTTATTACCGTTTTAGATATGTTTATGTGGATGTATGTTCATGTATTTCTATTCGATTACATTTTCATGTTACTAGCCTGAGAGGCAATTTAATTTAATTTCCCTTTGGTATTATTAATAAAGTATTTTTGAATTGAATTAAATAAATTTAATTATAAACCTTACACCAATTTTTATTGATGATATACTGTATACTATTTTTCATCATTTAGTTGCAAATTACATAAAGTAAGAGTTTTTTTTGTTCTTAAATATAAAAGACAAATCAAATGATTTGATTATTCAACTTTCAAAATAAAATGAAATTCTGTTTTGCATAGCTTTTTATAAAGAAATATAAACGTTATTTCCTAAATGCCAGAAGTTTATTTCATTTTTTGTAGCTCCAGACCGATTTTCTTTAGCAGGGATAAGGTAGAAAAATAGAACGATTTCTGCTCATAGCAATAACCTAACACTAGTGGCGAAAAACAAATCTCCAAAACCCTTTTTAAAAATGAACGATCATAAATCATTCATCATACCATAATAAACGCATTATAATTAAAAGTTAATTATTTTTTTTTATTGATTTTAATGCTTTCCCTAAAGGACACTCACTGCACCTTAAGACAATGGAATAGATTTTTGGAATTTATTTAGGCAATACATTTGTGGTGATGTGAATGTGTTTCATGTCTCAAACTGTACCTCCATCCTGGCATAATTCTCGCTTTTCTTGGCTTTAGATAGCATACTCTGATATTTATATATATATATTTTTTCAGGGGCGTTTTTAGATGGGACCCAACAGGGGCCAATGCCCCTCCAGAACTAGTCCTGTCCGCTGTGCTGCTCCAGAACTGCAAATTTTTAAATTTGCCAAATTTTCTTGATATAAGTGTTTATTACCATCACCGGAGCAGGTAGGTAAGAAAATTTACATATGGAATAAGATGATTTATTTTTTCAAATAAGAAAAAAAGAAACTCTATAATCTAATTTTAAATACATGTTAATTGATTATCTTGTTTTAAGTTACAAAATCTCCTTCCTTCTGCAGATCATCTTAGTTAAGTGATAGAATTAAGGTTAAATACACATATTTAAATTTATATTTACTTTTTTAGATCATATTTATGGGGAAATATTATATATATATTTATATTTTATGACGCTATGATGTCAAACAGAAAAGACTGTTAGTGATTTGTCTTTTGGAGAAATTTAATATTTGCCTCCATAATTTACTTAAACAACTATTTATAAATTACAGTCAGTTTCAAGTTTCAGCCATACAAAAGTAGGCTCACATTTTCATCTGTTGAAGATCTGCAACCTGGGCGTTGTAGTTTATTTCATGTACTAAACATTCTGCTCTTGCGCTTTTTTTTTGTGTGTGTGTAACTCTTTTGTTTGTTTCCCTCTTGAAAAAGTCTTTTGTGCAATAAAAAGTAAAATCCCTACAGTGAAATTTGATTCATGCTGTCAGGAAAGGAAGGATGCTCAGAGTTAATGCTGAAAGGTTTTGACCTAAATGCAGTTAGATACTGGACTTATACAGGGCGGTGGTGGGGGATTTACTTCCAGCTGGTTAACAAGCTTAATATATCCTCCTGAGAACCGAAGAAAAAAAATTTTTTACAATTTCTTTTTTTGTGTGATTTCCCATGTATTTGGACCTAAAAAAACACATTACAATTTTAATTTTTTTAAATATATTTTTAATTTTAATTTTATTGCATGCCCACTGTGGAGGACAACAGGACGATTTTCATGGGAAAATAGAACAAGCTTAAGAAATAAAGAAATAAAAAAAGATTATGTCTTGAAAGTGATATTTACCTAAGAACCTTTGACATTTGATAAAAACAGATACAATTCTGTAAAATTCTTATTTTGTTTGTTGCTTGCAACAGCAAAAATACATGTATTTAGTTCAACAATAAACTATAAGACATAGAACTAAGCAGTTCCTGGAAGCATCTTTTCGTTTTTGTTATGCAGAGGAACATCTTGCATTTGGTGCACCTCATGTATGTCTTGCCATAGCAGCCCATGGTCCTGCATCTTTCCGCATGCTTTATGTCCATCATCTCTGGCATGTGTCTAGCTCCTAGTCTGCGTACAGATGGCTCTGGTTGTGGAATCCTTGTTTTGGTTGGTGGCTGATACTCCTCCTCACTGTCTTCACTGCTGTCATGAAATGCTGGACTATCCATCAGCTCTTCAGCCAGATGCAGTTTGAAGTCCAGGTAGTGCTCTGTGTTTTTAGCTGGTCGATTCAGCGCTATACTGTCAGACTTGTACTGAATCCAAGCATTTGTGATGGCAACAACAAAGAAATGTGTCATCACATGGGATGTCCACCTCTTCGTCCTGGTAGACATGCGATAGAAGCTCAGCATTCTGTCACAAAGGTCTAAGAACACATAAGTTCCTGGAGGAACAGACACGACCATTCGCAAGACTGCTGCAGCTCCAACTCCCAGTCTTTGCCCCCTGAATGTGTTCTTGCCCTGATAAACCTCAAAATCAAGGATGAGACCATTTGGAGAGGCAAGCACAAAGACCTTCTGGCCAGTAGGGTTTGGCTTTCCTGGCAGATACTGCCTGACTGGGCAATGTCCTGTGAATGGGATGATTTGCTCATCAATGCACACTTTATCACACCTTGGAAGGCTGAAACAAACTTGCCTCACACGGTCAAGCAATGGTCTGACTCTCCAATGAATGTCTGACTTCTTTGTCTCTTCACTCACATCCAGGTCATTGACAATCTTAAGTGAACTTCATAGCTTGTAGAACCTGTCCCTTGTCATCTTCTTCCTAATGACTGGTACTTTGGTTTTTCTAGCCTAAAAAAATTTCACTCTGTGATAGCCAAGGCAGGCCATGTGAACTGATATGCCAAAGAAAATTTTTATTTCTTGGGCAGTAGTATTCAGCGACACTCCTGTAGTTTGCAGTTGTCTCTGATTTGTAAAGACTGCCAGATCTTCAAATATTTTGTCATCAATGTACTGTGAAAAGTACTGTATTAGACTCCAGTATTCACGGATTTTAGGGTCATTGTGATCGGCAGAGAGCCCAGGTAGCACAAGTGTGAATCTATTATAATGGGATGGGAAAAAATAAAGTTAATAAAAACACTACATTTGTTTTACACCATAATTTCAGTGTCATGTATGTAATATTGACCATTCTCACAAGCATTTTTTTTAGGCAACTTGCATATATTTAACATCTGTTATACAGACAACAAATTCTACAATAATCTACAGTAACATGATAATAAAATTGATTACATTAACCTGAAACTAAATAAAACATACAAGTTTTTCCTGGCCCACAGAGGATGACGACTTTCTGGCTCCCTCTCTGTCTCTGACTCTGTCTCATCAGATTCTCCTGTATTTTCTTCCTCTCCTTCTTCATCACTATCTTCCCCTATTACAGACTGATACTCATTCTCATCCTTTTCCTCATCTGACAGCTCCAAATCTGAATCTCCCTCTATCATCTGGTACAGAATCCTCTCTGCTCTGCTTCTGTCTCCTACAACAATGTGCAGTCATTAAATACATTAAAATGGTCCCAGTGTCCACTACAGTTGACATTCATTAAATGACTGTTATTTCAAAACATAAATAATTAAAGTGTTTTCAGATGTAATAATATTGTTGATGACACATTATTAAACAAGAATATATATAATTATCATGGTAAAAACAGCAATAGATAAAGAATATTTGACTTACCTCTCCTCTTTCCATAAAATGTTGTTGTTGGTATGGCTGCCATCTTGTGAGAGGAAAAAAGTAAAGTTCCCAGCATGCCAACCTATCACATGACACATCACTAGAAAGCCCAGGATGTCCTCTACAAAACACTGTAGGGCTTGATAGGGTAACTCCAGATACTTAAGGGAGATAAGGGTGGACAAAATGTCCATTATAATGGACATGAATGAATGGGCCGGGTCTCAGGAGGATATACATTTCCTTGGAAGCTATTTAACATCTGATCATATTAAAATATTTCAACATGCTTTAATAACTAAGGCTTTTAAAATAAGCCAACAGATAAAATACAATATGTCTAAAATGAACTATAACTGTAAATCTGCTGGAACATGGGAGTTAAACATGGGTGTGTACTGTCAGCTGATCAGAGGAATGACGCTGAAAACACATCAAAACCGAGAGAAAACTAAACGTGTTAATGCAAAACACTAGAAACAGATTCGTATGGTATCAAAGCTAAACAGAGTCTATCTCTTCCTTTGCAAACGTATCTTTTAGCTGTGCAGACACACGTCAAAAACCTCGAATTAAAAGATTAAACGCCAATCTTTTCCGGTTTGTATCCTTCAAAATAAAACAAATGACTATAAATGTGGGATTTATTTTCATCTTTCAAGTGCTCACGATTTTGGTAGATATTTCTTACAGAAATAAATTATCTCGAAATCCAAATTTTTATCGATTTTGGACCTACTTATTACGTTTGTTATTCATCCATTAAAGCGACGCGTTTTATTTTATACTGTAATTTCCGGCTTTCTCTGTAATGGTCGTTAGCATTGCTAAATTTACGTATCGGTTGGAACAGGAAACGGAAAAAAAACGTTAACTCTGCGGGGTAGCAGAGCCGAACAACAAGCAAACATGGTGTCAAGACAGGTTATCTTTCTTGTCGCTCTAACTTGTGTTTGTGGACAGGTAGCCTCAGAAAGACAGCTGGTGTATGCTACAGTGGTGAGTGTTGACAAAAAAACGCAACGGAAGCTGGTGCTTTTAGCAACGATAGTCCGGGTATCGCCGAATCGCCTTCAGAATATGTGAAATATTGTTTATTTTTGCTTCTATGTGAATATACTTGAATATTTATGCTAGTTTTAATAAGTTATGAAATCCCAAATGCCTTGTTATTAATTCGGCCCGAAAATATGCTATTTCTGTACGACTTTATTTTTGATAAGGTTATATTTTGGTTCATAGCACTAGCTTAAATTTCAGCCCACTGCTTCTGCTCTATTGACTAAAATAGGTCTGAAGTTAATTTTTAAGCATTGGGTGTTATTAAGTCTTTTTAATATAAATATATTTGTGAGATGACACATTGGAAAAGGGCGTTATAAAGCGATATGAAGAGCCTGTTGCTAATAATGGGAAGTCAGGAATACAGAAGTAATGGCCGCAGAGAACAGTTGCTATAAACTGGGATTTGTTTTTTTCCCTCAGAAGGATCTGCAGTCAAATCCTGTTTATTCTAGTCTACAATCATTCACCTTAATCTTTGTAATCAGCCTTGTAACAGAAATCAATGAGGTATGGAAGGTAACTAAAGGCATTTTATCTTTTATCCTTACTTTCTAAACAACAGACAATTCTAACCTTTGCCTTCTTTTCCAAGAAAAACAGATAATGATTCTGACTTGGACATTAAGAACTGAAATACCTTGAAGATTTACTCATCTTTTTCTATGTAAAACTGCAAATGGGGATCCATGTGTTGTTGTTTTTCCTTTTCTGTGACTGACTTTTGCAAAACCATGACTCTGTTTAGATGAACAAATGTACCTTTTTGGTTCTAATCTATAGTTCAGTTTTTGGCTTCCACATCAGAATACACCATACCTGTGGTGGAACATGGTGGTGGCAATATCATGTTGTGGGCTTTGTTTTTTTTTTTAAATAAGTTCAGAATTGAAGGTAAGGTGTAGAGAGTTAGATATAGGCCATTCCATTCTTAGAAACAGTCACCTAGTATCCTGCTATATTTGAACCCTGCAGCTAACTGGATCAGGATTTAGAAAAGGGATAATCAGCCCCACGAATAGTGTTTGCACACTTGATTTAGTTTTTTCTCTGGTTATTTCAAAGACTTTGGTTTTATTGGTCGCCTCATATGGAAGATCATTCAAACCGCACTTCCCTCTGGTGGCTTGAGAACCGAAAATTGAAGTTGTCTAAAGTTTTAGCTGACGTGGCGGTACCAAGAAGAAAGTTACTAGGTGTTTGGGTCTGTAAGGGGGCTGCTTGACCTGTGCCCGAGGGTTTTGAGGAATCTGGTTTTAAAGCTGTTGGACCTGTTGGACTTTAAAAGGGAATCTTTTAAGAGAAACTTGCAGATGCTTTCTGTGTCAGCTGACCGGCTGCTGAAACCGCTTCTATGAAGGTAGAACAAGGAAGTAGATTTTGGTGACTCTTCAGTTTGGGTTTTGGTGTTTTCACTTCTTTTTTTGTTTTTTGTTTAACAAACTATACTTTTGTTCGCTAAATCTCTTTTCTTTGCTTGTGCTCTATGCTTTATTGTTAAATACAGGAATTGAATAATTTTGCCCCAAACGTTTTCCTTCCATTAAATTATCCAGGAATATTCTGAGAGATTCTGTGAGAATTTCATTGACTTTTTCCCCACTGATTGTGTAAATATGCACATTTTCCTTTTTTTTCTTTTCACTTTGAACCCTAATAACCAAAATGGGCAGAAATAATCAACTTAGATATATTTTAATCTATGAGTTCCACTTTTTGAATTAATATACTGTTACAAATGAACTTTTAATTGATATTCTAATGTATGCATTGTAGAGAATACTTAATGTCACTATTTTTCTTGCTGCATCAGAGGGATTTTTCCCCAAAAATGAACCTGAGTATCATTTATGCTGACATGAAACCTGACAACTCTTGTCTCCTCCCTCCAGTTGTTTCGACATGGGGACCGATCACCGGTGAAGGCCTTTCCTACTGACCCCCACCAAGAAAATGCCTGGCCTCAGGGCTTTGGGCAGCTGTCACAGGTATACTGATTATTCCGTAGTTTTAATTTCGCTCTCTAGGCCTCCCGTCTCCAGGTTACACTGGTAGATGTGGAGTTTTAATTAGGCTAAAGGTCAGCAGGTTGTTTGCTGACTGGTGCCAGCCTTTTTTATCAGCCCATTACAATTTTCAGAGTACAACCATTACTTTTTTTTCTTCTTTCTATTGGTCGATATGACCAGCAGATTTCCTTTTTCAATGTTATTTCAAATAACATTTAGAGGCTTATAAAAAAGGTTCAAATTGCTCAGTAAAAACATTCATTGTCATTTTTATTCTTAAACATTTCTCTGCAAAAACTGAAATAGAAGTAAATCACCTCTTAAAAATAAGATTCAAAAAATAAAAAAACGAACAAAAAACTGTTGTCGTTATCTTAATTCAAATGCATAATATCTGATTATCCTATTTTAAGGCGCAAAATACTAATTCCATCAAAATATCATCTTATTTCCCGAGTAAGATTAAAGGCAAATACCATCATTTTATAATTTCTTTTTTATCTGATTAACCTTTACCTTAAAAATGACCGTGTCCCGCAGCATCACACCTCATCCTTCATGCTTAGTTGAAATATTATTACAACTATAATATTTATAAGTGCTCTCTTGTACAATCCAAATGTCTTCTGCCCCAGAATTTTTTTAATTTAGTCTCGTATAGTAAAGTGCATTATAAATAAAATTCATTATTATTTATTATTATTATTATTAATAAGCTGTCTTCCTCTTTTTGCTTTATGTAATATTTGTTTAAATGCAATACCGGGGTTTCAATTTTTATTATTGCACCTTAAGCAGCTGTTTTGATTAGCTTTCAGACCGTTGTAGAAGCCTCAACAAACAACCTGGAGCCTCTTTTTTTCCTCTTTGCTTTGTGTTTCAAGGAGGGGATGAGGCAGCATTATGAGCTGGGTCAGTTTCTGAGGATGCGGTATCAAAACTTCCTCAATGAATCCTACAATCGTCAGGAGGTGAGAAATAGAAGCGCCTCTTCCTTTTTAGATCCCTTAGGAATTAACCAATGTCTAAACACATCTTTCCTCCTCTCCCCCAGGTTTTGGTCCGTAGTACAGATTATGATCGCACCCTGATGAGTGCTGAAGCCAACCTTGCAGGTATGCTTTATTATTTATTTCTTTTAATCATCTCATATGCTCAAAGGATTCCTCTACCTCAACCTTTACTGTCTCTCCCCTTTATGTAGGCCTCTACCCTCCTAAAGGTCAGCAGATATTTAGACCCAGCTTACAGTGGCAGCCCATTCCTGTGCACACCGTACCGCAGAGCGAAGAAAGGGTTGGTAGAGGAGAAGCGTTTTGTTTTTAAACAGCTAAAGTTGAAGAGTTCTAATTCAAATACTGTTTGTCTTTTTAAAGCTCCTCTCATTTCCGTTGAGGGACTGTCCTCGCTACGAACAGCTGATGAATGAAACTGAACACACAGCAGAGTTTCTCAACATTACAACAGAATACAGGGTAAATCTTTGCTGCTTTTCCTTTATTTCTGTTTAGCAACATCACCTGTATAAAAATAGGGCAGAAAAAAAATGTTTAAATAGTCTTTTATTTAGATGTCTTCTTATCCTTTTGTTTATTCTTTAGGACTTGATCGAGCTCGTTAAAAATAAAACGGGGGTAAAGAACACCAATGTGGAAACAGTGTGGAGTGTGTATGACACACTCTTCTGCGAGGTAACAAAATAAACCCCAAATATAAGCAACATTCAAACCAAGCTTAACCTGTTGAACGCTTTTATTTTGAAATATAAGATGCTGTTAATTACGGAGGCGACACTGAAGTAAAGGTTTCTGTTTTTTTTATTTATAATCCACTGTTTGCTGCGTGACCTCAGTCCCGTCACAACTTGTCAGCTCCGGACTGGGTCACCCCCGACGTCATGGAGAAGCTGAGGTTTCTGAAGGACTTTGGATTTCAGGTAAAAGACACCGCCGCATCTCAGCTGTCTGTCACAGTTTCTGATGAAGTAGACGAAAGGTTTGACATGGCTTGTTTTTAAATGCTGAATGTTTGCAGGTCATATTTGGGGTCCATAAACGGCAAGAGAAGAGTCGTCTGCAGGGAGGTATGTTCGTACATTGGAGTCAGTCTATACCTGCCAACTGGGTTGTGGAATATGATTCAATACTCATGCCTGATCTGCTGTATCTCATCAGGTCTCCTGCTTGGCGAAATAGTTAAGAATCTCACCGATATGGCCGTCCCAGACCCACATCGACAACTCAAACTGATGATGCTCTCAGCGGTGCGCCTGTTCTTATCCACGCTGCTTCAAATTTTGGCCTTCGTTTTTTTTTTGTGGTCTCTCAGGAACAACTTGTTTTTGGTGATCTCCCTACAGCATGACACAACACTAGCAGCTCTTCAGGCCAGTTTGAGTGTGTTCAATGGAAAGCAGCCGCCCTATGCCTCCTGTCACATAATTGAATTGTACAGAGATGAAAATGGGTTTGTATTTTTAGCTAAAATAATGCATCCAAAATGCAGAGAAATATAGATAAAATACGGCGTTGACTCCATCATTCTTGGTTTCTCTTAAGGTCTTCGTCGGTGTCCATGTTTTACCGCAACGACACCAGCATGAAGCCGTACTCGGTCCAATTGCCAGGGTGCACTCTGGACTGCCCCCTGCAGGACTTTATCAAGATCACAAAGCCGTTCATCTCCGACGACAGGGACAAGGAGTGCCAGCTGCCGTCGCAGTGGAGAGACAGAAGTGAGATTCCTCCTCTCTGCTTCTGTCGGCACCAGTGATCAGTTTGATTGGATCCTCACTGTTTTTGTTTTTTCCTCTTTTCCAGAAGTCATCATCACCTTAGCCTTGTCAGGTTGCGTGCTCGTTGTCCTCATCGCCATCATCCTCTACGTCCTTTGCCGGTACAAGAAGTCCAGCGGCAACAGGGGATACCATCATGTGATCACCCAGGACATCGGAGATGAATCCTGACAGAGGCACAAGCTACTGCTTCGGAGATCTACGAGCCTTGCCTCCTGGGACAGCAGCAACAGCGACAATGACGATGATGAACTTTGAAAGCAGAGAGTTCAGGAACTGTCTTTACAGATTCCTGTACCTCCTATTGGAATAACATCCGAACGTTTTATTCATGCGGGTCGTGGTTTGGGCACAATATGACTGGTTTTGTTACACTTAGTGTGTGAGGTTTGATGACCAAGATGCCTTATTTTCTAGCTTTCAACTCTGAATATTTCAGCTATGTCTTTGTTGAGGGAAAATTTATCTTTTAAAAAAAAACTTCTTAAAACACGTGAGAATAATGTTTTTTGACCTTAAAGACAGAAATGAAATGTGTCAAAAATAAACTGGCAGTTTTAAACCACAGTCTAAAATGGTATTTTTTTTTTTTTTTATTGCTACAAGTTTTAACTCCTCCCAGCCAGCAATTATGCATTTTCCTCATGCTGACTCAATCCCTATACCTAAAATTGGTAAGGACACCTAACTCATGACGGAAGTGCGTCAGCGGTCGGCATAAAAGGTGTTATCTGACCAAGATTGCTGGTAAGGAACCAGTCAGGTTAGCATAGGGCCCTCCTGACCTTCCTAGCCATCACATTAGCTTTATAGTTAACAATCCTTTGTGTGACAAAAATCAATTTTTTCTTAATGTTCTCTGTGATGCATGCAAATCTAAACATCTTCATATGTTTTTTTTTTTGGTTTTATAATGTAGAGATTCAGCTGTGTATTTTTTTGTAGTTCTTTTATCCATAAGTCTGTTGTCCTAATCAGACAAGCATCATTAATCTGGGCATGGGTGTAATGATGGCTGAAGGCTATCTGAATTCAGCACAGCAGTCTGGAGCTCCTTTCCTGCCCTGGATAGTGTTTTTACTGTTCACCCCACAAAAGGTGAAGGAACAGAAGGTAGCAGCTAGGGCTGCAACTAACGATTATTTTGCAAATTGATTCATCTGTCAATAATTTTTATGATTAACTGATCAATAATCGAATAGCCAAAAGTTCCTTAAATAAGATGTTTCACAAAATTAAGCTAAAACGATTCCACTTGAGGAGTTCTGGGTAGAGCATATTGACAGAATAAAACGTTTTTATTTTATTATAATATCTTAATATACATTTTTTTTTTTTATATTTTGAAATAATAATTGCTCTAAGTGGGTTGCTGTTAGCGAAGGCATATTTTACAGTCTCTATACTCATTTACTCTATATTTAAAGATTAATCAATTACTAAATGAGTTGACAATTTCTATAATCGATTAATTACAATTAATCTGATTAATTGTATCAGCCATAGTAGGAGCCACTGTTTGCATATAATTACCAGGTCTGCTAATGGTAATTTCTCTGCTTTCCTCACTATGAGGATCTCAAATTCAAATTATTTCAACCTACTATTCCTATTAGTGAAGAATCCTTTCCTGCTAATGTTAGCATCCTAGCCAACTAATAAAAATATTTTGGACTCAAGTTTTCTAAAACAATATCGAATTGAAATACTATATTGAATTAAATTAAAACTTATTCTGAACAACTGTTTCGGGGGGGTGTTTTTTTTTATAAATTGTTTTGATTTTTAAAAAAAAAGTAGGTATGACCATTAATAATAGAACGACTCATGTCAGGATGCAGATTGTCATCAGTTTTTAATGATGCTAAACTTCCATTTTTATTTTTAGGATTCAAAATTGAAACAAATATTCATTCTAAATTGTCTTCCTGCCTATTGTCTTTTTCTAACCAGAATAAATCGAGTAACGATTTTTTTTGTATTTCATAAAACTAGAAAATTTTTCCTATTTTCTCACCTTACAACCACACACTTTCATGTGTTTAATTGAACTTTTTTTTATGACAGACCAATACTAAGTTTTAATATGTATATTTTGCCCATTTTATTTTGACTGGTCCAGTCTAACACATAAACATGCCTTGCCGTTTCCTAATTTTTTTTTATCTCTGGCTGCTTGATTAAGGTTATCTTCCTACTACCAATCTGCAAATATTCATTATAAACTGAAATCTTTCTGTTTACCAACATTTTTACTCTCAATCATGTCGTCCTTAACCCTAAACGTCTCCTTTTAGCTGTTGCTTATCAGGTTTTATGAACCAGAATCAATTTAATGTGAAGTCGAAATGAGAAACTGCCTTTTTAGTAACTCAAGCTAAAGAAAGGCTCCATGTCGAACAGGTAGGACAGCAAAACATACATAGTTATGCTTTTACGGACCAGTTTCTGCAATTACCCTCTTAAAATTGTTAGCATGTAAAGGCTGCTGCACGACAGATTGGATAGAGGTGGGAGAGGTCAAAACTGGTCCAACTCTTAGCAGCAGAAACAAAAAGGACATTGTGCAATGTTTTTTTTTTTTTGCAATATGTTATGTTTGACTTTTCATATTTCCTACTATTGTCTAAACAGTGCAGTAGGCCTTTATTAAAACATGGTTTAGAACACGGTAGTGCTTTTCTTGCATACATCATTAGTCATCGGTAGCACAGGTTACATTCAGATTGGCCATGGATATAACCATCAACACCTTAAAACAATCAACAGGGAAATTATCACTGCATTTTCTGTGTAGCAGACCGCTTGAAAAAATCTTTCACAAAAATAATACCAGATTGGACAGAGAAACGGTGACAGATTTTGCGCACAGATGCAGAAACATGCATTTCGCACCGCTGTTAAAAAGCTGGACCCAAACTGAGAATTTCAGCTCCTTCATTTGATTTTTAAAGAGTCCTGATATAACTCGCCGACACAAGCGATGGAATCTCAAAGTACAAACAGCAGCATGAGGAATGGACACCTTCTCGATCCCGGGTTTAAGGTTGCGTGACATCGGAGAGCCTTTCTTAATAATTCACCACAGATGTAGTGATTTTGGTTCAACAGGTGGGTCGTAAACAACACCACAAATAATAATAATGATAATACAGGCTGTCATAAGAATCCGCAAACTTGTGATGTGGAAATAAAAAGGGGAAGCATGGCGGAAACCAGGGAAATACACAACCTGTTAGAAAGAAAAAAAATGTATAAAAGCTGACTAAACCTTAAAGACAAATATTAAAAACACACACACCACCTACTATAAAATATATCACAACACGCATATAAAACAGATTGGCGAGGAAACAGACAATTAAAAGCACACATCCTTTGACTAATTCTTGTGCAAAAATATTTTCTTTAAGGAATGCAACTGTTCAGTATGATAAAATGTGATGGCACATTGACATTTCCTTTCTAGGATAAATACAACAGAGTACATAAAGAAAATATAAAGATATGAGAAGAAAAACCTACATTCCAGGCTTAAAAGCCTTTTTCTCTGAAGGTGATCTTCCACTTAGTGCAAATTTCTGCCTCACAGCTCACAAAACATCTGATCATATTAAAGGTTAATTTGGTCACAAATAAGTTTTAAAGATCCCTCTAATTTTATACCACAAAGCTAAATGCAGGTATTTTTCTGAAAACAGGCAAAACTGTATGTTTAAACCAAAACATTCACCTATTTGAAATGATTGGTTAACTCCATTCTCATGATTTTAGCCGTATTACGTAAAGGAACCTTACTTTTAATCCATAAAGAAAACTGAAAATTAGTTTTAGTCAGTCAACAGGGAAAAAACAGGCAATGAGAGCAAACACAATTCAAATTTATGGGCTCTAAGAAGTACACACTGATAACAGCTAAAAGAGCTATGAAGGAAGAGTTAGCCATGTAGCTCAATGAAGCTTCTGTGATGCGCTTGCTGATATATTTAATTTTACACTTTTATTTTGTGTTCAAATAAAATTTTGTTCCAGTTTGATAACTGAGATAAACTGGATTTAACCACAGTATCATCATTTGTTATCATTTTAAATTGAGCTCTGTATTCTTTTTGCTAACTGCTAGCATCATTAAGCTAGCTCTAATTCCTTATGCCATTTTTTTTTTTTACTATTTTCATTTTGTTTTGCAAAACAAGAGTGATAAAGTGAAACCGACAACACAATTGAACATTATTTATTTTTTTATATTTTACTATATTTTCAATTATTTTTCTCCTTTTATATCTGGGAAGTTAGTATAACAAAGCAGGTCAGACAATTTTTTTTCTTTTTTTGTGGTAATTACAAGAAGATATTATTGAAAGAATTCAGAAAATGATCATAAATATTATTCCCAAATAAAGTAATAATATTCGATGTATGAGAATACAGTTGTAATACCACAGTAATGAAGTGGTAATATTATGTTACCAAAGAATTATATTATAAATACAGTAATAATACCACACAAATATTACAGAAAAACGTATATTAAGACAACAATAAAGTGTTCTTGTGTGACTTTATACATAGGTTTTTTTTTTTACAAATATGAAAATACTTAATTTTTTACCCCATTAAATTGGTATCAGAACTAATTGACCAGCAGGCAACTGTATGACTTTATGTGATATTACAACTGTAATCTCATATTTCTGATATTTATTAAATAAAAATATTGCCTGTAGCATGGTCCTAATAGTCTGGTGTATATTATCCCATGTTGTTCCACTAAAACTTGATATTAGTGTAATAAAAATGTTTTGTTTTTGTCCAGTGACACAATAATAACCTTTTTAATCCATTTTAAATGTTTGCAATATTTCCCCTATTCTGTCTTATTGTTAGCTGTGCTAACACTCATTATGTCAGCAGTTATCAGCAAACTAGTACTGGCTAATTACTTATGACACGTTCTGCTAGTTTTCTCTTTGTGACCTTGCCTCTCTCATAAAAGAAAGTTTTGTATTTTAATTCTCATTACATTGCACCAGAATTCAGTCCATACATTGATCTAAGTAATAAACTGAATTCTTTAATTCAAAGTGTCCAATTTTCTTTGTTTTATCACTAGTTTTCTATTTTTCCTTTTGGCTAATGCTAGCAATGCTATGCTAGCTCTCCCTGCATAAGCAGCTATCAGTAAATTAGCATTAGCCAATTCCTAACAGCAGCTTTTTCCACGTTCTTTTGTGTAACAATGGAACCCTGTCCCAGCTTAATAAAGTAATTAACATTTTATTTAAAAATAAAATGTTATAATTTGCTGTATTTGCTTTTGGGACTGATTTTTTATATGCAAGAAGGTCATTTTGTTTGAGAACCGTGTTGCTCTGGCCTGAACTGTTGACTGACAGCTTTAGGATTAGCAAATTAGCCTCATAAATAAGCACCTGCTACGCAGCTGCCATGTTTTCAGACCATTAAAATTTACAATTGGAAGGATTTTTCTGGTCAATATTTCTCTATATTACCAAAATATTTAAAGGAAATGTTTTCAGTTCAATGCTACCCATCTGTACTGATGTTCTCAAAAAAGCTGGTCGTCTTGTTGATCCGACTTTCTTGCTTATTTTATCTCCACGATTTCACACAATTTGTTGAAGCAGTTGTGTGGGCAGTACTTTTAATCAAAAGGTTTGATGGAGCTGAATAAGCAAAATGGGACAAAAAGATGTAATAATTTGTTATCTATATTGTCCAAAGTCTACAATAGATCCCATTTAATTCTGTGGGGTGCAGAAATACGTCTGCGATCCGCAGTAATAATTTTGCGGCGTGGAATAGTAATTACTGTGTTGATGATGCTGGTAGTTGTTGTTCTGTGGGGTAGAGTAGTAGTTGTGATGGTGATGATGATGACTCTGAACGTTTCCTTGGGAAAATAAGAGCGGGGCCGTGGAAGGTGGAGGCTGCCGGCCAGGGGCCGCCCCAGGGGCCAAACTCCCATTTCGTTGGATTGAGCCGTACCAGCTGGACGTCGCCATCTGAGGCGTAGTGGATAGGAGGCTGAGAATGACAGGAAGTTTTAATAAAAGATAAGGATAAACATATTTATCTTACGGAAGAGGATTAGGGCCAGTAGAAAAAAAAGTTAACTGATTTTTTAATTTTATTTCAGTTTAGTATGGGAAAAAAAGTCAGAATTCTGACTTTAATCTCAGAATTCTGACCTTAATGTCAGTATTCTAACTTTTTTCTCAGATTCTGACTTTAATCTCAGAATTCTGGCTTTTTCTCAGAATTCTGACTAAAATGTCAGTATTCTAACTTTTTTCTCAGATTCTGACTTTAATGTCAGTATTCTAACTTTTTTCTCAGATTCTGACTTTGATCTCAGAATTCTGACTTTAAAGCTGCAGTCTGTAACATTGAGAAGAGAGCAGACTTCGACTGAAAATTTGAAGAAAAACAGGTTTCACGCCACTCCCCCACCCTCTCTGCTTCACTCATGCCCCACCTCCAAGCTCCACCCCTCTCACAGCATCTGCGCGGCTACCGCATGCGACCAGAAGGGGAGGGCGGGATTCAGTGTGTGTGAGCTGTGATTGACACTCCATCAGACGCTCCTCTGGCTGTGATTGGTTGTTTTGACTCGTCCCGAATTATTCTTTCCAGATTGAAATACAGGCAGTAGGCGGTACCAATTGAAGCAGTTTCTTTCACAGGTTACATATCACATGTACTGCTGTCTGGGCATAGGGACAGTTTTAGCCAATATGACAAAAAAGTGATTTTTAAAAACTTACAGACTTCAGCTTTAATGTCAGTATTCTAACTTTTTTCTCAGATTCTGACTTTAATCTCAGAATTCTGGCTTTTTCTCAGAATTCTGACTAAAATGTCAGTATTCTAACTTTTTTCTCAGATTCTGACTTTAATCTCAGAATTCTGACTTTAATCTCAGAATTCTGACTTTTTTTCTCAGAATTCTGACTTTAATCTCAGAATTCTGACTTTAATGTCAGTATTCTAACTTTTTTCTCAGATTCTGACTTTAATCTCAGAATTCTGACTTTTTTTCTCAGAATTCTGATTTTTTTCTCAGAATTCTGACTTTAATCTCAGAGTTCTGACTTTTTTTTCTCAGATTCTGACTTTAATCTCAGAATTCTGACTTTTTTTTCTCAGAATTCTGACTTTTTTCTCAGAATTCTGACTTTAATCTCAAAATTCTGACTTTTTTTCTCAGAATTCAGACTTTAATCTCAGAGTACTGACTTTTTTTTCTCAGAATTCTGACTTTTTTCTCAGAATTCTGACTTTAATCTCAGAATTCTGACTTTTTCTCAGAATTCTGATTTTAATCTCAGAATTCTGACTTTAATGTCAGAATTCTGACTGAATTCTGACAATAAAAAAAAGTCAGAATTCTGAGATTAAAGTCAGAATTCTGAGAAATAAGTCAGAATTTTGAGATTAAAGTCAGAATTCTGAGAAAAAAGTCAGAATTCTGAGATTAAAGTCAGAATTCTGAGAAATAAGTCAGAATTCTTACTTTAGTGTCAGAATTCTGACTTTTTTCTTAGAATTGAGAAACTGATAAAAATCAGCTAACATTTTTTTTCCAGTGGCCCTAATCCTCTTCCGTATCATCTGAATGTAAAAAAAAAAAAAAAAAAAAATGTTTGAAAGAAAAAAAAAAGTTAAATAGCACAGTAATAGGATGGAGTTAAAGTGCATGTTAAAAATTTATCTTTAAATCGGTTTTCCAGGTCAAGGACCCCCAAACTGATGGCGAGATGGAGCGGGGGCCCCCTAATTATATATAGTATGAAATTATGTTCTATCAAACTGGTCCTATAGTCACTCTATTACAGATGGAGTAATGTAACAAAAGTAATTCCTCCCTGGGATTATTAAAGTATTTCTAATTCTGATTCCTGGTTGATAGGACAGGTGGTGTGAATGAAGCGGTGCGCAGCTTGAAAGAGCTCCTGTGTGTCTCTTAATGTGTGAATTAATGACTGAAAGACATCTTCTGCCTCCATTTATCTGTTAACTACAGTGTGTTGAATTCATGTTATTGTGTATTAAAAGACATTTCCATTAGTGGTAAAAATTGCAGGGGGAATATAAAAAAAAAAAAGTCTAATCAACCAAAACTTTCATGCAGTGCGGGGTCTGGCTCAAGGACCCAGAGTGCAGGCTATGGTTCAGCCTTATAAATAACCATAAAATATCCTCCCGCAAGATGCAGAAAAGGGATTAAAGAAGCTGAACTGGAAATTTTCACACAAAAAAAGATGGGTTCTGATTAAAACATTTCACAATAAACCCAAAACTAATTCCATCACATCTGATTCAGTGCTCACCTGGCCCGATCAGATCTACTGTTGACGCTCCTGGACAGGTCGTCATCACTATCGTACCGTCTGGGGTTGTCAAAGAAATAAGCTCTGGAGCTGAAGCTGTGGCTGTTGATCATACCGCCTGGGGCCTGCAAGACACACAGCCGAGGAATTCATACATAACTGTGACTACGGCTCAATCTTTGAGAGGACCGTCTAGGCCTACGGCCTGACTTCTAGTTGATCGGTTTACCAGGTTTTGGTGGGGTTTTTGGACTCTGAAGAAAACCACAACCAAGCTGGTGGGCAGCAGCTCCCAGAAAAACAAAATGATCCCAAAAACGATGTAGGCTTCTCCGCTGATCTTATGTATGTCGGCCTTTAAAAAGGACAAACAAACACAATTTACACACATGAATCATGAAGCGTGATGGCATCTAGCAAACCGAGAAAAAAAAATGTATTTAACCGAGATCCAACAAATATTAATCTGAAAAGTGTGGCATGCATTTTTACACAGTTCTCCCTTTTCTTGTTCCCTAAATGAAGTCCAGTCTTTGTATTTGTGTACGGATCAGAAGAGAAGCTTATGACCTTAACGCAATGTGCTACTCACTACACACCAAGCTGAACACAGAAACTACATGGTGATACAGGGAATTTTTTTTTTACAGATGGACCATAACAGCTAGCCAGCTAGTTAATAGGAAGATGGAGCTGCTATACCCGGCAATGCAAAAAGAAAACCTGAGACTTGAGGCAGTGCACTGCAAAAAATCAAAATCTGAATAAGTCATTTTTTTCCCTGAAAATAAGTGCATTTGTTCTTGAATTGAGGAGGTAAAAGAGACATTTCACCAATGGAACAAGACAATTTACAGTTAAAATAATAATGAAAAAATGTTTATTGTCTTATTTCAAGTGCATAATATTGAATTATCTTATTTTAAGAATAAAAATACTCATTCCATTGGCAAACTATCTCGTTCACCTATTTAAATTACGGATAAATACACTTAATTTAAGAAATTTTGACCTATTTCTAGATCGTTTTTCCAGTGTGATGAAGGTTCCTAAAAAGCTACAGCTACAACAGAGTCAGAGATTCTTATGTTAAAACGGCTCATTTAAAGTCCAGATCTAAATTCAATTAAAAATCTGAGGCAGGTTTGGGAAAAATGTTAACAAAAGGTCCTAGAAGGATCTAATTCAAACTGTTAATGCAGGTTTAAATAACACTAGTGGACCTCTATAAGCATACATGAGATACCAGATGCACGTCAGAAGGTATGCAACACTGTATGAAAATGTTGTTTTGGAAAGAGGTAAAGGATGAAATTGAGGAAATCTTTTCCAAGCGAATAATTAGACCCAAGGCTGTTTATGTTTGGGCTGTATTCGCAAAAACATAACTACACTAAAAATGAACAAATATTTATAAATGTAGGTCTACTCAATGCAAAAACATGTATATTGTTGTTCTGAAAGATGACTCAGGGAGTGATTATACTGTCGATAGATCTGGCGGATGTCATTTATGCTCCATTTGGAAAAAATACATGTTTTTAAATGGCAAACAGGATTTGTTTGAGTACATCTGGAATACCTTTTATTGTATGTATTAAAGATCTGAACATGACAGAGGAAAGTCAGTTTTAATGAGGTTCATAAGCAGCTGAGTTTGATTTATATATATGTAGATGATGTATGGGTTTAGTAAGGGGTTGTATTATGATTAAGAAAGGCATGTACTTGTGTTATGTGTCAGGCTTGAACAAAATGTCTAATATTCCCATTGTTGATACGTTTTACAAAATGTTTCAGCTGTCTGTATAAACTTAAAAAGTCTCAATAAAGATATGTGAGGAAGACCTGAACATTGATGCTCCTTAAAAAATGATTTGATTTTGCAATGTCTCCCCCTGCTGGCCATGAAAAAAATTCCCATTAGCTGCTTTTTGTGGATTGAGATCCAGATCCTTTTAAATACATAGTTTGATATTCATACACTGACTGCAAATCTATAACACAGATATGGTTAAACATTTTTTAAACATCCTGTATAAATAAATACTTTCAATAAATATAATTAAAAAGGACTCAAATAAATCGTAACATATTCGGATAACTGTTGATTTACAGAAACAGATTAAATTCTGATTAATTAATTATTATTTGTGGGTTTTTTGTAAAAAGAAATAACCACAAACATACAAAAGGAAATCCTTTAAATTACGTTGTCTGTCCCAAGGCTTGCACCCTCTCTGATGTAGGTCAGGATCCACAGAAAAGGTTATTTATAACCAGACAAAGTCTTAAACCCTGATAAACCCTACTTCACTGATTCTCCAAAGATCGATCAGATTAAATGCCCCGACTTAATAAAAATATTCACTCTATCTTATTTCGATCTAATGTTAAAGATCAACAAAAGGTCGAGCATTGTGAGGTGGAAAGTTAACAAAACATAAGAACCTGTGCGTTATGCATGCATGCATGTGCAGATATCCATCACCGTACTAAACTATGCTATTTTGCTGTCATTTGACCCACTGTGGAAAAGTTTAAGAAGTAGGAACAGTTTTGCATGGCGCTGTTTACAACTAAACACAAATGGAGCAGCACCTGGTCAGAGACGCTGTACCAGCCATAACTAAAGGGGCTGGGTCTGTCCTGCGGCGACAGGGCCACCACCACTAGGTTGTAACAGGCTCTAGACGTGTAGAGCAGGATCACCACGGCTCCTACGGCGGTAGCTTGGCACACTGATGTCCCCTGGAGGGAAGATTCATCTCATCACAACAAGCTTAACAATTAAACACTAAATACAGGTCAACTAGCATTACAAAAATCACCATTTCAGACCAGAAACAAGAATTTAACAACATTAGTGTTTTTTTATGATTTCTTAAACAGTGACAAACCTGCATATTTTAAGCTTGTTGTGTGAAATGTTTTTTTTTAATGCTACAATCCTCTTTCTGGGTATGTTTATAAAGCAAAAGGCAAGATGCTACAGCTAAGGGAAATAATAAGCTTTGAATTAGCCTGAATTAGCATCATTGTTCTATCTTCACTTAGAAATTGCTTCCTGTAAATCTCAGTCAATCAAGTTAATCAACTGAAAGAATGAATTTGGACAATCAATTGTACTATTGAGGTAGACATTTTATATTTTGATATAGAAGTAGGCAACAAAAAAAACTCAAATTTCTCATCTCTGTAGCTTTAATGTCTAGAGAAGCAGCTCTACAAGATGTATCCTAAAAAAAAAAAACAGGTAAATCATTTCCTTTCTACCTTAGACTCGAGGTAAACATTGGCAGAAGACATCTTGGCGGTTTTGAAGATGCACACAGCCAGAGATATGGCACAGAGGACAAACAGACTGTCGTTGATCAGGACCCGAGCCAAGACTGCATGTCGGACCCCCCCACCACTGCAGGGCCAAAGGGTAGAGTTTGTAACGACACATTCAAGTATACAGAAAAGAGAACTGATTACAGAGAAAGAGAAAAGACAGAAATCGAGGTCTGTGTTAGCTACGTATAAAAGGAATGAACCTCTGCTCACCTCGGTGGTTCAGAGTGCATCAGAGCTCCTTGGACTAACAAAGCGCATGTCAAATTCACCACCAGGAAAAATATACTGAGCGAAAGAAAGAACAAGCGCAGAGGAACCCTACAGAGACAACAGATTGGTGAAAGTGACTTAATTCACAAGCACTTAACACGGTTTTAAAGGGGATAAATCTATAATGCTGGTGACAATTCTAAGTCAACCAGGTCATAGTCATTCCAAAAAAGTTAAAAAAAACAATCCATTGGACTTTGTTTTCCAAGTTTCAAGACGTTTCGCTTCCCATCCAGAAAGCTTTTTTAATTTAAAGTGTCAGAAATAGAGTTGAGTTCCAATCTTTATAGGGTAGCCCAACAACACTGCAAAAAAGGAAAATCTATACAAGTGTAATAAACTTCAATTAAGCATTTTGGTCTTATTACACTTTTTTTTCAATGTATTTTCTTAGTAAGACTGAATATTGTTGAGATTATTTGACTTGTTTTAAGAAAATTAATTTTTTTCACCCTAACTAGATAATACAACTAATTCTGAGCAGCTTTTTTCTTAAAAAAACATTTAGACTGTGAGTACATTTTTACTTGTTTCAAGACACATCATACATATGCTTATTATAATAAAAGCTCTGCCTTAAAGGGGAATGCCGTTTTTTTTACATTTGGCCCTTGATTTTACGTTATTACATCATGTTCAATGAGTTTTGTGTCATTTGGAGTCGTTCTAAAGATATTCTGTTTATATTCTCGATTATATCCAAGTAACGTCTTCCTACAAGTAATAGAAGTAAAAGAAGAAATAGATTTTTATACTTGATTTAAGTTTTTTTGGATGCTTACTACTTGGATATCATGTTCTTGTTTTAAGAAATCTTACCAAGTCTCATTTGCTTGCTGCACCGGCAGATTATTTTGCTCAAAATAAGCAATTATTCACTTAAAACACTATATTTTTTTCTTATTTTTTTAGAAGGCATTTTTTTTGTTGTGAAAGCCTTGTTTTGGCTTAGAAAACATGCAAATTGAACATTTTGAATTGAGAAACCTTCCTGGATGGGAAGCGGACATCTTCAAATTTGGAAAACGAAGTCCAGTGATTTATTTTTTTTTAACTTATTTGGAATAAATATAATGTAAAAAAAAAAAAAAAAAAAAAAAGAAAAAAAAAAACTAAAAAAGCTGGTCATTACTAAACAATCAAGGACTTACTTGTATCTGGTGAGCTCAGGCGAATACTTGGCTTTAGCTTTAAACATCACCTGGAGAAAGAAAAATAGGCATTATTTATTTGTAAAAATGCTGAATTTAACTATTTAGATAACAGACTGCACAGATCCCACCCATGTTGGTACACAGAAGCCCAGAGAGCCAGTTTTAGAACCAAGGTGTGAACTAACAGTTCCAGGAGATTCCCGAGGGTCACTGGAGCAGGCACAAGCCGTCAAAGAGGCAATTATGCTTTTAAAAACCAGCAGCGCCGACTGACCTCAAGAAAATTATTCATTCTCATATAAGGAACAAATACCTGCCTCTTTACATATCTGCTCTGCTTCCACTTGAACCCATCTGATCTCAGAGTACTTAGAAAATGCAAACATTTAGACAGTTCTGCTTTGTTTTATTGTTTTTCTTTTTCAAAACCCATACATCTGTCGTTCTACCTATCAATCCAAAGTCTTTCGATCCTTGTCAATATGAACATGTACATTCCCAAGCCAATAGGGGAAAGCTGTATAGTTGTATGGATCCTATTTGGCCCGTGGGGCTGAGATAAACCAAGAAAAGCTCCAAAGCGAAAAGCTCAGGAGGATTCTGATCAGATCCCATAACTGTCGGTTATTTCCGCATGAAATATAAGAGCGTCTGCTTTAATCTAAACTACTTTGGTTGCCCAACTCAAATCAACAGATTTATTTTTAGGGTTATCGCTTCCTAAAACAAGGCAGAACAGAGCAGCATCCATATTGCTGGAGATGCATCAGTTGTTCTAATGCTCCACCTTTTTTAGCATAATTGAAAAAGATTGACAGATACTTAAAATTTTCATTGAGATATAAACTAACTCTCATTGTTTAAGATTTTCTGGATTTCTGGGGATGATTTAGTATTAACGAAGCACTACTTTAATGCAATGCCCTGCAAAAATGATCTAAAAATGAGTATTAATTTCTGAAAATAAGAGCATTTACCTTTAATTTGAGTAGGTAAATAAAATGATCTCCCAATGAAATTAGTATTTTTACCCTTAAAATAAGATAATTAGATATTATGCACTTATTATAAGAGACTGCAGTCCTTATTATCCTATTTTAAATCTAAGTTTTCTTATTCTGTTAGCAAATTGTCTCACTTATCTGCTCAATTCCAGTAAAATTGACTTTGATTTTTTGCGTTGTGGCTCTATGCTGAGTAGTTGCCAATCATGTTGTCACCTTCAAGATCAAAGGGAAGGCACCTTCCTAACAAAATTTCAGACCATCCCCAGCTTTTCTATCGAACATAAAGCTGAGTTCATCATACTCCAAAAACTTACAACAACTCAATCTAAAAGCACACTCTGGGAATGTGGAATTTGCATTACCGACATGCAAGAAACAAATCTGCAGCAAAACCGTCATGCATGTTAAGAAAAACGTTTTGACCTGAAAAAAACAAATAAAATAACAGGTCATGTTGTCAGTGGTGACCTAAAAGCTTAAACACATTGAAACTGGCTCATAAGTTCAAGGTCTGTGGAGAGAAAGTTTGCTTAAGTTGTGTAATGGCTCAATTCTAAAGGTTGTTTCCTTAGATATTAATTCAGCTCTTAGCAAAGCAGAGTATTGTTTATTGTCTTTTTCTAGACTTTCATTAATACTAAAATCTAAAACCATATTGAAGTGGCATTAAATGTGCCAACATGAAGTTTAAACATTCAAACTAACATGCACTCACATGATCAGCCAGTATGCTGAAAGTAGGCCATGATGGGGTAATTTGTAACCAAGAGATGAAGCAAACAGCTAACAAAGCAATTCAGCGAGGTTGTATACTTTTCATGCATCATATGTATGAAATGCACTACAGGCTGCGTATCCTTTTAGCACACAGGGGACGTTTATGTCCCGAGTCTGAAAAGGCAAACAAGTACGAACATGACCATCTGTTCGTTTAGTAAGACGACTTAAACAAAGGGAAGCACTTATTGGTCAAGACAGATCGCTTCTTAACTGCTTTTACTTCTGACACTGGTTGAATAAATCTACTCTTTTGTATCCGACCTACACAATATTTAGCTAGTGTCACCAGCTGGTGTCTTTGAGTTGATTGAAGGTAACCTAAACGTTTATCATGACGTCAGATTGCTTTCTGTGTTCATTGGAAATATTAATGGAGGAAAAAAACTCTGGGTGACCATGTTGTTGAACCTAAAGAGAGTGACGTCCCATTTAGTAAGGCATTGCACTGCAACTGCAAATTATTTTGAAGCCACTCTGCTTAGTTACTAGATAGCCTGAGTAATTAGGCAACGCATGGTGTTCCTGTTTATCTTTACAAAGATCTAAACAGGAAATATGTTAAATATTTTTCACCATACGAACTTGGAGATTAGGAATGGGTTTTTTCACTGGAAAAACATCTTAAAATAAGTGTATTTACCCTTACTTTTAGTAGGTGAATGAGATAGTTTGCTAATGGAATGAGTATTTTTACTCTTAAAATAAGATATTTAAATAAAATGCACTTGAAATAAGACAATGCAATTGTGTTTTATTATTTTAAATGTAAATTGTCTTGTTCCATTGGCAAAATGTCTCTTTTACCTCCTCAATTCAAGAACAAATGCACTTATTTTAAGAAAAATGACTTATTTAGATTTCGATTTTTTTTCCAGTGTTGTTTTAAAATGTAATTTTATTCTCATGTTGAATGTTTGTTTGGTAGCAGCTGGACAAATTGTTGCTGTTCCGTTTTAGAGGTATAGTGGAGGATATTTTACAAATTTTTGAAAGACCCGCCTTCTTCACTTTTATAAAAAAGTGCACATGCACTCTCGGGAGCACCCCGTTACGTCCACCAGGCTTGTTGGGTGGGGAAAATTGAATTTATTAAATTATACTAAAGAAACAAAACCTGAAAAACGGATAAATAAAATGGGGAATAGAAAATGGCTTACTGCAAAACCAATAACTTAACAGAAATAAGCAAATGCAAACAAACCTAACAAAACCCAACCATAGGATACAAACCAAACCAAATGGGGGTCTGAGGAGGAGCTTTTAAAGCTACAGTGTGTAATTTTCAGCGACATCTAGCGGTCAGACTGCAGACCGCAGCATCATGAACATCTCCCCCCCCCACCGCTTCTCCCCCCCAACAGTACGGCGAGCGTTACGGGACAAAATGTCTTCCACGACGTCCGCATCACCTACCTTCTCAAGTGATGAGGTTTGTTTACATAGATAATTTTAATACTGCTATCTATTGTTCAGTACCGTCTCAGTTCATCTCTCTCAACTTGCCGTTGTTACTTTCGTGCGTAATGGGCGATCTCGCAATCGCTAATTTGTTGGCTCTGCGCTGCCGTAGCGCAAAGATGTCTGCCTCCATGCCTGCGAGACCCGCTCCTATGTAATTATAAATAACGAATTCTAAGGCAACGCAAATATTAAGGTTGAGAGGCTGAGCTCGTAGATGATGATAAATAACATAGTTATGATTAATATATTACATTTCTGACTGTATATCCCTGTAATTATTACACACTGTAGCTTTAAAGCAGATGAGCACCAGACGAGGCCTGCATCCAGAACCCTGCAAGGAAAAGTGCAGAAACCCACTGCAGCCGTAACAACCCCGTACCTGCTCCCGAGAGGGAACGCCTGTTAAACGCATGCGAGAGCGTGCACACGACCATTTCTCCTCGTGCACGCTCTGTTTAAAAGTTGCTGTTTGCATCGTTCATACAAGTATACTTTCCAAAAGATTTGCTACCTTTCCAGCATGTCAGACTCACCACCGGTAAGTGAAAATGAGGCGAGCACATAGGACGGCCTTTGACATTGACATTTAGGAGGACCACTTATTTTGATGATCCACCCAGAAAAAGAACATCCTGCACTATACCTTTAAATGAATGAAGCAAAATCATGGTGTTTGATTTTGTTTTAGATTTTCATGCAGTTATGCGTCTAAAATGAAATCAGGGAATTCGAAAAACTTCTAAAACTTTCTAAAAGGAAACATTTTCATCATGTTCAGATGCATGTGAAAATATTTTGACTGTAAGACAGCAAGACAGAGACTAAGACAATATACCTGAGTTGTGTTTTATTCTTTTGAGCTCTTTTGCATTGACTCAAAAGGCAGTTCTACTCTGCCTGCTCTCAAAACTATAATTCTGCTACAGATTCAACATGAGCTACAATACATCTTAAAACACAGTTAACGAAGGCCGGTTTATTGTTTGAATTCTATAGTAAGCTTAAAGAAATCACACACATTTGTTTTTTCCCCCTTTGCTCTTAGAACTTCAGCTCCAGTTTGCAAGCAGACTAGTAGATCAAATTCAGTGTTTATTTTTCTGTTTGTGCAGATCAGAAATATATGCTGATAATATTTAATATTATCTATAAATCTCCAATATTTCAACCTTACTTTGTAGTATTTTACAAAAACCACAGATCAGTAATCAGCGACAAAACTCGACATTCTTCTGAGTATGAGCAACTGCTCTTCAAAAAAGTATGTCCGCTGTTTATGAAACACAAAACAGCGTCCAGTTGGAGTCGTGGAACAACATGTGAGTGTGATATATTACTCAGACCTGATGTGGCCAGACGTATAAAAACCACAATCGGGAAGGTTTTCTTCTCTGAGCTGGGTGGTCACATGCTCTCCTGACTGAGATAAACATGATTGTACAGATACGACGACAGGAACGGGCAATAACAACATCACAATATGAAAGGAAAAGGAGCAGGGAGCCTTTCACACAAGGCAGAAGTTTGAATTCTATCTTAAATCTACCGACTTCTAGGTTTATTATGTATGCAAATATTGGCCAGAGGTCAGCAGATGGGTGACTGTGTTTATTCAGCAGTCATATGACACAATGAGTTGCATTGGCAAGTCAACACTCAGTCAGTGAGACATGCTTCCTTCCCTTTCCCCTCCTCAATGTACATGCGGACCAAGCTTGTCCAATACACACATTTAGTGACTACTGGTGGTATACTGGAACATTAACTTGAGTGAAGTCTACGTAGTGATCATCAATGTGCATTTAAAATCCTTACTAACTCAAGATGCAAAGAGAACAGCGTTCAGCTTGAAACCTTTTCTACAAACTAACCAAACTTTGGAGGCTTTCTAAAGATTTATTTCAAACATTATCTTAAATTTGTTATATGTTACAAATTAGAACTTCATTTTAAGAATTTTGATCGGTGTTTTGAGTCTCAAACAGCACCTGGTGTTAAAACTATGCATGCATTTTCTGTTCTGCTAATGCCTGGAAGAAGATCCTAAACTTTGGAAGTTTATAGCATTGTTGGCCATTAGCATCCTGATATGGGACCATCCCAGTGATGGCATGGCACAAAGCGGGACCAAAGAATGAAGACGGACACCTTTCTCCAAATATTTGATTAAAGCTAAAGGTTATACCCTAATTTCAGCGACAAATGAGCTGATGTAGGCATCTTAGGTGGGTATCTGTAAAGGGCAAAGCAACATGGCCATAAAACTGGTGTAAAATGGTGAGGAAAGGGCAACTGGCCAAGTGCCGTGGCATCCAGGTGTCATGCAAGGTGCTTACAACCACATAATCCAGTGGGATTCAAAGTGATAGGCCAATGCAATGTAGAGCATAACCGGTGGAATGATAATGGTTGGAAAGACCATAATCATTTTGCAAATAAATGTTTAAAAACTGGTATCCTGGGTCAATAATCTGCATAAACAACTGTGTGGTACAATTACAGCTATACATGTTTGGGAGTATGTTTCTTCTGGCTGTTGATGTGCAGACCCTGATTTTTCTATGCAGAAAAAGTCAGACAGACTGGATGAAAAGCATCTTTGAGCTTTGGTTTTTAATCACTTCCCCTGCTTAATGCAGTTGTAAGGCAAGTAGCCACCCCAGGTTCAAGTCTATTGGAGCCTCTACCAGGTTTTCTCTGCTCTGTATTTCTCTCTGCAGCAGCTATGTCCACCAAAATGGTGGGGGCAACGCAATTTATGACTGTGCAGTTTTAATTTTCTGCAACATATGGGCCTTAAAGTTTAAATTTTGGTATTTGGTGACCGAGGTATTAGAGGTTGGATGGTCTGACCAGCTGTCTCACTGTGTGGTGTGGAGGCTGCAGCGCCTCTACGGAAGAGGATTAGAGCCACACAAAAAAAAGAAAAGTTAACAGATTTTTACATTTTATTTCAGTTTAGTATGGGGAAAAAAGTCAGAATTCTGACATTAATCTCCGAATTCTGACTTTTTTTCTCCGAATTCTGACTTTTTTTCTTCGAATTCTGACTTTTTTTCTCAGAATTCTTACTTTAATCTCAGAATTCTTACTTTAATCTCAGAATTCTGAATTTTTTTCTCAGAATTCTGACTTTAATCTCTGAATTCTGACCTCTTTTCTCAGAATTCTGACTTTAATCTCTGAATTCTGACCTCTTTTCTCAGAATTCTGACTTTAATCTCTGAATTCTGACTTTTTTCCTCAGAATTCTGACTGAATTCTGACAATAAAAAAAGTCAGAATTCTGAGGAAAAAAGTCAGAAATTCCAGCAGATTCTGCAACAGTTTCTTCCCCACTGCCATTGAACAGCTAAACTGTTGAAAAAACTCATAAATCATGTCACAGACTCTGCATCACACTGATAACACCAAACCAAAAATACAGCATATTTGCACAATGCATATTTAATGCTCTAAAATTCCATTTCATTGCGTTTTTGCACCATGTTTTTTTTCTCCAACACTCTTTACATTTGATCACTGCAGCACTTTTTTGGAATGGAAATGTTCATTTAGTGTCTGAAAGCTGTACTAAACTAAATTTAGTTTCGTATGCACTCTATGTATACAAAATTAAAATAAAAGTTATCTAAGTCTAAGTCCTATTGCATTGCCTGTGCAAACCATAGCTCTCATTTTGACACGTTTTTAACAATCAAGCATGACCTGTGGATCTCTACAGCTCCTCCAAAGTTACCACGTCCCACATGGCTGCTTCTTTGATTAACAATGACCTGTTTTTGCTCTCTGTAGTTCAAACACAATTAAATTCCTTTAACCTCTTAATATCCACCTCATTTTGGGAAATTCTCGCCTATTTTGCATACCCAAATGGAAAAGCAAATAATGTAGGAACTGCAAGCCCAAATTACATGTGTGTTACAATATTTGAAAGCTAACACCTTCTAGTTTCTAGACATTTACAGGAAAATTGGGTGAGTAAAACACAGCCCAAGCTGCATCAGTTCAAACATGACTCAAAGTTGTGGTTTTTTATTCTCAAAAATAATAGGTCTTTCTTGAACAGCAGTAATAGACATGCTTGCTTGTTGTAGCTGCTTCCTCATGCTACATATCAACATGCTGCTATATTTGTGTTAATTGTGCTTTGGTGCTCGCTATGTCCATAGAATGAACTCGGTGGTTGAACTGTGGAGAATCTAAGCTTTCTAAAGATGTCTAGAATGTCTATATTGGTAAACATTTTTCAGTGTAATTTTCATGCATTCTAAGTTATTATTTATAAACACTTTAAGTAAAAACACATTTCCTCAAGCTACAAAAGCCAGTTTTTCACTTCAAATAGAAGATTTAACAGATGAATGCCCACAGGACAGTTGGCTATTGAATGAGAAAACTGACTGTGCACAGTAGACAGCAGGGGCGGAGCTAGATGGGGGGCCAGGGGTGGCCATTTACCCAACCATTCGCCACACCTACCATTTTTACCAGCAGTAGCAGCTGTAATACTCTCAATTGGAAGGTTCACTGAAATCAGAGATAAATAACTTATTACATATAAATTAACCTATTAATTGCCATTCGACTGCTGAATGTTGTGTAAAATGGGTTATTTTATTTATAATAAAAAAATTATGTTATAACTGTAAATATACACTAATATTTTTATATTACTTTTTATGAATTTATCACTGTTTTTCAAGGCTGCACTTTAAAAAATAAAATTGTCTTTTTGTAGACACCCGTGTCTACAAAATGACAAAAATAAATCTGTCTAAAATAACTTCTTTAATAATAAGCAATCCATTTAATGTAGATATTTAAATATACGCATCTATTTGTTAGTTTATCTTTATTTAGAAAATATTGATGTTGACCCTGAGGTTCTGGTGCCTATCCACTTTTGCCCCCCCCCCCCCCCCCCCCCCCCCCCCCCCCCCCCCCCCCCCAGTGTGCATTGGTTATTGCCTGGCCACCCTTATTAAAATGTTCTGGCTACGCCTCTGGTAGACAGGGAAAAAAGTGCATACTCAGCTGTTTTATATGAAATTGGGTCACACAGAAAAAGAAAAAAAACACCTACCTGTGTGAAGTAGAGGTTAAGCAGGCAGAGTGTGAAGAACTGCAGGCATACAGGGCAGCAGTAGAGCAGCCAGTAGGCCAGAGGCTGCAGCTGGCTGGCCTGCACCACATTTTTAAAGTAGAAAGAGAAGAGGGTTGTCCGCAGCGCTGCCCACAGCAGACACAGGAACAAAAACACGCTCTGGTAGCTGAAGCGCTTGTGACCGTAATGAAGGATGAGCCAGAGCTGCAGGTAGACAAAAACAAAGAGGAAAGAGTAGAGCACGGTGTAGACGGTGGTCAGACTGAGCTCCAGTGTTGGGGAGATCGCATCTCCGGATGACTCCTTCAGTGAGGTAAACAAATCGGATTCGACCTCCTCTCCTGGCGAAAACATCTCCGCTCCAAGATGCTTGAGAAGGAGGCTAAAAGTGAGTCAGACCTGGGTTACATTCACCGTGGATTGAAAAAACGCGACGATATTCGAGCGCAAAAATTAGATAAAAACAGTTTCTTTTAGAAAGAAGTGACATTATTAACCTAAGAATAGGGTTTCAGATTTAGGGAGAACTAGTAATGATTCGACATTTAAAATTTGCGAAGTTAAAACAGAAAAAAACATCAAGAAGAAGCGAAAGAAAACAAGAGAGGTGCTTCTGTGATTGTCTGCAAAGCAGCTCTCTCTGCAAAAAAACAACTTGAGAGGGGGGGGACCTACAGATCAGCTGTGATGCAGTTTTAGACCAGCCCCTTGTTTCCAACGGAAGCGGAAACTGGCTCCCGATGGTCGCCATCTTGGCTCCGGGCGGCCGTTACCTATAAAAGCAAAAAGCTTTCTTTAGAGCCGTAAAATCAAGCTAGTTTCCGACTACATTTCCGGTCAAAGAAAAAAGGTCACGCCCCCTGTTCCACTCTGCAATTCTATTGGCTGTTCCTGCAACCAGCCTCCACAAAAAATCAATGCCATTGCTTTTTAATGATGTCAGCTGTGAATGCGCAGGACCTGCTATTAAACATATTATTATATGTTTAATAAAACAACCAATGGTATTCTGGATTCATCAGGCGCAAAAAAGCAATAAGTGTTGTTTCTGGCAAGAAGCTTTGACAATTCGCAAGATGATAAGTAAAATCTAGGTTCTTTTTTGTCAGAACTTCAAAATAAGAGCTTACAGTTTCTCTATTCAAAAAGAAAAAGCCGAAGCCAAAAAAAGCAACTTTTCTTCTTTTATAAATAATTAATAGAAATTAATAACGAAATATAAGTCTTAGTGAATAAGTTTTAGCCACTAAAAATAGTAGCGTGTCAATTTTGTTTTGAAAGGATTACAGGAAACGATGCGATTACTGTTAACTTAACGTATTTTCCTCAAATCGTTGAGCATCTTGGTTTTAGTAGGTTTTGGCAGCGTTATTCGATTAGATTGACCAGGATTGACACTTGTAGCTGGTTATGTTTGCAGTTTGCTTCTATCATAAACGAGCTCCTTCCAGAATGCAACAAGTAGCCATGGGCTAGCTTACAGGCTGCTAATAGCCAATGAAGCTGTCGTTCGTGATAGCTGAGCTGAGGTTATCAGGAACCTCTTTAAGGTTTTTTTCTTAATAGAAAAGTAGAATGGCTTCTTCAAACTTTTCAATGACTTTTAAACTCTGACTCGACTTTTAAAGCGACCATCCCCAGCGTTTTCTTCTCAGGTAAAAACCAGGAGTTTCTTAACCCCCGAAATATATGAAGTTGGTGTCACTGTAGTAGGTTTTATGTATTTATGCAGAATCCTTATAGCGTCAGATATTTGAGTTTATTAAACCTCAAATTAGAGTCGCAAATTCACTGATAAATAATTTTTTGGATGAAGTGTGACTGATTCTTTCTCAACCGATTTACTGTTTTGTTTTGGTCATGGTTGCAAATCAAGCCCAAATCATTACTCCTCCGCCTCTATGCTTAACTATTAGTATTAGATGTAATTAAGCATGTGCTTGTACTTCTTTTTTATTTATTTTTATTTTTTTTTGTCAAACACCAGACAGTGTTTTATGGCTTAATATCTCTACTTCTTTCTTGGTGCCTAAAATAGGACTTAGACAAACTTTATTGTGAATTTTGAATGCCCAGAATGCATACAAAACGAAATGTTGTTCCATACAGTTTATGATGTAATCGGATTACCATTGAAATAAAATAACACAATCTAAAAAGTAGCAGTGATGACTATTAAATGTTGATTGGGCTTACACTGGAGGTCTTCAACAGGGGGGTCCACAGAGGTACTGCATGGGGGTCGCAAAAGTTTTGGTTGATTATACGTTTTTTTCATTTTTATATTCCCCCCTGCATTTTTTTCTAATTGAAATGTCTTTAAATAAACATTAACATGAATTCAACACACTGTAGTAAACAGATAAATGGAGGCAGAAGATGTCTTTCAGTCATCAATGCACACATTCAGCGACACACAGGAGCTCTTTCAAGCTGGGCACCGTTTCATTCACAACACCTGTCCCATCAACCAGGAATCAGAATCAGAAATACTTTAATAATCCCAGGGAGAAATTACTTTCATTACATTACTTCATATGTAATAGAGTGACTATAGAACTAGTTTGATAGAACACTATTTTATACTATATATAATTAGGGGTCCCCCACTTCATCTCACCATCAGTTTGGGGGTCCTTGGCCTGGAAAACATTGAAGACCCCTGGCCTACACAAACTATTTATATTTTAAACTTATATCTGTCTGTTAATTCCCCATACCATTTATGATTAAATAATCAGATTCTTTCACAATATTCATATAAAAAAAAAAAAGTCAGCTGTTGGAACGGACCTGTCCCTGTGCCGGGTGCAACAGCTCTTAGAGACGGTTCTAACATGTCCATCCATTCATTTAACAAACCAGCTCCCTTTTTTTTGTGTTAATGAGCGTATTATTCAGATAATTTGTACTTTATAAAAACTTAATGGAAAAAATAAACCGCAAATCTGTGCTCTCTAAAAAATACAAAAAAAAAAAACATGCATACCAAAATGAAACATGGACATTTTAAAAACTTTTTCAAATACTACTTTTAAAACAACATATTTAAATGTTAATGACAACAGAAGAGCACACTTATCCGAAATATCTGTTAAACTTTCTTCAAAGTTCCACATACATATAGATATATACATATAGCTGTGGAATCTTTTGCACATCCATCACTACAGCTGTTCAAAAGGATTTTAGAACATGCTAACCATGTAATGAACCAACCAAAGTGATCCAGACAATTAAACCAAACAGACTATTAATTAATTCATAAAAATGCTTTGGACAGTATGACAAAAAATGCACCACATGAATAAATTTACACCTCAAAAAACCCTTTTCCCAATGAATCATGATGATTTTTAAAATCTATTATGTTCTGCTGATTAGAGGGAGCTTCATAAGCATTTGCAGTCTCCCCTATATTTCCAGACATCTGATTGTTTAAATTCATATTCTGTTAAGGAATAATAAAACTTTTTCCTGCCATCCTATCATTCTAGTTTAGCATTGAAAGCTCTATTTGTTCTCCCAGTGATACAATAATCCTTTTTATATCTTTGCCACTCTGTATTAGCTCTCCTGGGTGCAGTATTTCAGGATGTGGCCTTGTATTGCTGTCGTCCTGCTGTGGATCCGGTCAGCAGGAGGCACAGAAAAGGCCAATACGTCGAACCATATTGAATACACAGCTGCCGATTTCTACGAAAGGCTGCTGTCCGGGAAGATGATGTTCCTCTATTTTGAGCAACGAGGTAAGCACGCATTTCTGTTAGCAAAACACAGGCGATCACAGTGTTTATTTTTAGGTAAAATACAGTTCAAACAGCTTTAAGTGCATTGAAAACATTTCATATCCACCAGGGCTCTCTCATAGTCAGAAAAGAATCCGATTATTACAGTTTTCATATAAAATCACAGTGAATAAATGGTGATCACATGACTGACCTCTTTTTAAGACACTGTCAAGATCATATCTAAAGGTTCTTAAAGGAATAGTACACCCAAAACATGATTAGCCTTCATTTTCTACTCACCCCCATGCTGAACAACACTCTGGAGTACGTTTTTGATATCTCAAATTTACTCGAAACGAAGTCATTTAGAATGTTTTTAGAGCATAAACAGTAGTGTATAGGATTTCCTGAAAGCGCGCGCCTGCGAGTTCACGACGCTACAGAAACCGCGGCAGACCAAACCAGATGAAAGTGCGCATTCAGCTCGGCAAAGAACTCATGCTCTTCCTCAACACTGAAGTCCTCAGACATTTTTCTTTCGTTGTTTCTTTCTTTGCACAGGTAAACAGCACATTTCTTCTTCTACGCTTGCATTATTGGCAGAGCAGACGCTGAATGCGCACTTTCATCTGGTTTGGTCTGCCGGCTTCCGTAGCGTCGTGAACGCGCATGTGCGCGCTTTCAGGAAATCCTACACACTACTGTTTACGCTCTAAAAACATTCTAAATGACTTCGTTTCGAGTAAATTCTGGATGCTACCCACTCAGAACACTTGGAATACATTGGACGAGCAGTATGGAGGAATATTGACACGTTTTTTGTGGACTTTTATGGACCTTTCTGTCTCGGGCACCATAGACCTCCATTATTTGAATGTCAGCAGACAGCAAGAAGCCTCCCAGATCTCCAGATGCATTTGAGATATCAAAAAAGTACTCCAGAGTGTTGTTCAGCATGGGGGTGAGTAGAAAATGAAGGCTAATTATGTTTTGGGTGTACTATTCCTTTAATGTTGATTCAGTCAAACAGATCATAAAATCCTCCTTCTCCCCTTCCCCCTCCAGTGTCTCCCACCGTCTCTCTGTTCTTGTTGGAGCTAGAGAAGTCAGCCGAAGCTCTGCGGGATTATGGAATACAAGTCGGCAAGGTGACAGCGTGTTTTATCATGCTCCGCCTCTTATACATGTTAGCATAAAAGTACAAAAATAACATGAAGTTTTGCTTTCAGGTGAGCTGTAAGAAAGAGCCAGTTCAAAACTACTGCACAGGGGCAAAGCAACAGGAAATGGCATTTCTTTTCCGGTAGGTGGTGTACATGTAAGGTTATCAGAGCTGAATATAAATAAAGAGCATAAATCTGACTGGAAGCGACATGGAAGCTAAAGCATCTCTACCAATTTAAATTAAATCACTTAAGTTTAGTAGTTTTGAAAAGATCTATAAACCCATTTATGGAAGCAAAATACTCTCTTCAAAGTTACCTGCCTGCTGCATCCTATTGTACCTCTCTCTGTCTAATTGAGTCGTGTATGTTTGTGTTGGCAGAGGCGGCAAAGAGTTCTCTAGTTTCGGTTTGGACACCGTCTTTGATGTTAACTCCATAGTGGCTGAGGTCCTGTTGTGAGTAAGCACCTCTCTCTCCGGTGGTGAGATCCGTAGAGTCAATCATTTAAAATTATTCATAAACTGTCAGTATTTACCAACAGCTTTGACAATGAGGTTTTGCACCAGATGCTTTATGCAATTATTGTAATTATTCGTGCATATTTTAAATTAGATCATTTAAAGTCTGGACCTAAATCAAGTTGGGAATCTGTGTAATAAGCTGGTTGAGATACACCTCCAGGTCTCTTTGTCTTCCAGCGCCATTCTAGGTGATGAGGTGAGGTACGTCCACACAGATGCTGACCTGCTGGCCATGGAGAAGGCAGCCAAAGGGAAGAAGGACATGGTTCTCAGTTATGTGCGTAGTCTGGGAACACAGGGTGAGGATTTAAAGCTGTAAAATGGCCGCAGTGATTGTAATACCTGCTCTTAGCCTTCGGGGATTGTAAATGCAAACTGGATCTATTTATCTATCTACTGGTATGTTATTCAGAACACAGATCACTAATGGAGACAGCGTATGTTTACGGATCAAAATATCAGTTCATTCTCATAACTGGAGGTCCAGTATTAAAGCAACTAGGGTACGTCCTTCTCGTTTTTTTTTCTTCTCATGATAATAATTCGCTATTGGAGCCTAAGCGCTAACAGTGACGTGGTGTTTTGGTAGAGTGAACGAATCATCCCAGCTGTCCCAAGTGTGGTTCCTCCACTGTAGAGCCGATGACACCTCCATGACCCTGGTGACCTCTGAGCGCTGCCCGTCGACACGTATGAGGAAGGCCCTGTCCACTCTTAACCTGCACGCCTTCTTGCAGCATTTGGAGGCCCCGCTTGTGGTAAACAGGATCTGGTTATGGATTATGAATCAGAAAAAAAAAACATGGCATGGTTACCTGTTTTTATATTTCTCGCCATCAGTCTGAGGTGTACGTCGACCCTTCCTTGGTCCCGCCCCCACAGCTCCCCTACCAGCTGACGCCTCAGGTTTTCCTCTTTTCCCGCCCGGCGACTGCTCAACTTGACCGCGACATGGCCGCCGCTCTAGCCTGGAGGCTGCGAGGCGTCGCTCTGCTGCTGCTGGTGCACAGGTGTGCAGAACCTAAAGGAGCCGCGGGGAAAAAAACATTCATTATGTTGGGTTTGAGTTGATTTTAACAGGCTCTTTGTGTGCCGTTGTGCTTCCTAGGCAGAGCCCAGCAGTGAAGACCCCTGATAAGTACAACGCTGCCTATCGGCTGCCTGAGAAGGTATAAGTTCACACTCAACAATTTCAATGTTTATTTGTTGGCATACGTTTTTTTATTTAAATTTTTGATCATCTTTTATCTAAAAACAGTCAGAATTATACATGTAAAGCTCACTGCATCATCCAGACATCTCAGGAGTAATGATTAAACTCCTCAGCACCACAAGCAACAGATTTTAGATGGAATCATGTCTGTTTTTAAGCCAATATTTCTACTTCAAGTAAAAAATCCACAATGAAAACAAACTTAAAGATGCAGTTTTTTGTGTGTGCCCCTAATAGCCCCATATTAACATAATAATCACATCCAATATGTTAAAAATTCATTCCTGCTTGGGTGTTTTTTGTGCGTTTCAGAGTTCAGAGGTGAAATATTTGACCTTGCACAGCTTCGATGAAGTATTGACGCTCTTCACAAAGCAGGAGGAAGCAGAGCAGGGGGAGGAAGAGGATGATCATGTAGATGAAGATGAAGAATCCCATTTAGGTTAGAAGATTGAGTAGATGTTTTTTTCTCCGAGAGATCAAATATAAGGTTGAGGAGTAGAATAAGAGGATTAACAGAGAACCGCTGTGTGAATGTGTGTCCCCAGGTGAACTGGATGATGAAGTCGCTGCAGAGGTCTATAAAAACCGAGCACACCTCCACGACATGGATTCAGTCACTCAGCTAACTTCACACAACTTCCACAATGAAATTGCAGAAAGTAGCCTCACAGTGGCGCTGTTCTATCTCAAATGTAAGATCATTTTTTTTGCACATTATTGGTCTTGGTTTGTCAGTTGGTTGCACCATAACTCATTGTGGTTTTGACCACCAGGGGATGCTGTTTCAATGGATTTTCTCAGCTCTTTCATTGAAGTTGCAGAGAGACTTGAAGGTAAACAGCTAGGAACATATGCACAACAAAGATGGAAAGAGCTTTAATTTCCAGTTTATGCTTAAAAATGCAACTTTAGGGATATAAAGGCAAAAGTATAATTTGAGAGACTTCTTATTCATTTAATTGAAAGTTTCTGTTTATGATTGCATTGCAAAAGAACTTCCAACTTGGCTTTATCATGCCCTTTGCATGATGAAGCATGATGGTGGGAGCATCATGGTGTGGGTTTGCTTCTCTCACCATCGGATATCCTTAAAGGAAGCCTGTTGAAAGCTTCAGAAAATTACTTTGTAATTTATATCATGTTATCCCCCCAAAAAAAAAAACACCCTAGTTTGTGGCTTATGAGTTAAAAGGTTAAAGGATTATAAATAAATAAAGCAAACAATGCTCTAGAAAAGCCAAATTATGTTTCGTGTAACTTTAATTAACACAGAATTTAGTTTTTCAAAATGATATCTTTAAAGATTCCCATGTTGAGGACGTTCATATGTGTGTGGTGGACTGCGGCGAGTGGACTGACCTCTGCGCTGCTCAGCCTGGCATGGCCGTCCCGTTCCAACCAATCACAGCGTTCCCTAGCATTCTGCTAATGCGCCCTCACCAGTCGGCCCAGCACTACAGAGGAATGCTGACAGGGGAGGCTTTGCATCGCTTCATCATGATGTAAGATCCCTGGAAGACCTTCTGAATTTCTCACTTAAAACAATTGGAGTAAACAGATAAAATAACAGAAAGGACAATTTAGTTATTGATTTTACTCTGTACTCACAAACTCACAAATTTTGTATTTGATTAAAAGTTATGTCAGGTTTTTAGATTCATTTTGGGCATATTCTGTTGCGAGTATCACAGGGTCAAACTTTACGTAAAAGCTACACAAATGTTTAGTTTGATGAGTTTCTTATCTCATGCTATAGGGATGCACGATATTGGGATTTTGGCCGATATCCGATATGCCGATATTTTAAAACTCATGTAGCCGATAACCGATATCGATACCGATGTTAAAGCTGGACAAAAATAAGTAGTCATTGAAAATAGCAGTTTTGTTATCCATTTCTGACACTTTGAAAAATAATATACTCAAATATATTTTCATATGCTGATATGAAATTGATTTTAAAAACGCGGTATCGATCTATTTTACTTTCAAAATCTTGTGAAATTTCATCGTTCTGTTACAAACGCTCGTGATATTTTGCAAATTCTTGTTAGATTTTGTTAGTAAAATAGATCGATACCGCGTCAATATATCAACATATAAAAATATGGCAACATTTCGTGAATTTCGGGGGATTTCGTAGCATAACGTTGACATATAGCAATATTTCATTAGTAAAAGAGATTGATATGGTGTTTTTAAATGGCAATTTATCAGCATATGAAGATATTGTGATATTTTAATGTATCAATATATTTTCCCTCGTCTTTAGAAGTTTTTAAGTCTGTAAAAAAGAAGTTTTTGAGGAAGAAGAAGAAGTAGTATTTTTTTATTTTTTAGACTTTAGAAACAGGGGTGGCCGATGTCCGATATTCAGTTTTAAGGCCGATACCGATAGGGGGCCGATTATATCGTGCATCCCTATCATGCTATGCTATGCAGACGTTCAGTCTGCACTGATGAAAATTCCCTCAACTCCACTAGAGGAACTCTCAAAACGACTCGAAATAACAGCTGTCCAAACAATTTTTTTCCCGCTAAATGGGCTAATAGTGAGTTAACTACCATGAGGCATTCATAGAAAGCGTGTAGAACATTTAACTGTCATCATAAGATGGTCAGGGGCCTAGTTAGGATGAAAGGGAAATTATTTCACAGGGAAAAATAAGTTGCCCTGTTCTTCTTGAGAAAGGTACTGTATCCTCCTTCCCTTCCTTCCTTATTTATCAATTTCCTCCTCTGTGCTCTTCCCTAATCTCTTCCTTGTTCCTTTTTATATTCTTTCCTGTCTCCACTTGATTTTGAGTTTTGTGACATCCTACCATCTTTAAAGAAGAAAGTAGGAAACTTGTAGAAACTGGAAAATTAGCTTTACTCTTCATCATACATGTGTATTTGGTTTAACTTTTGTAACAAACAGGAGCCGTGAGGCGTCTCCTGTGCTACTGTCCACCAAGGAGGAAGTGACTTCCTTCCTTCAGGAGTCTCCTCACCCTGATCTAGCTGGTTACAGGCCGGACAGAGCCCTGGGACTGTTTAGGACTGACAGCCAATCAGGTGGGAGCCTGTGAACGCCCAATCATAACATACCAGTGCTATAGTTCATGATTACATTGATTTAAAATAAAACCGTATTTGTTTATATTCATGTAATTTAGATCAGGTAAAATGGTTTAACGCGCTTCTTCTGAATGTTTTGTCTCTGTTCGGTAGAATCTTAATAAAATCTAGTTCTGGTATTTTTCTCCCTCTCCCAGGTCTGTCTGTGTTCATTGAAGCAGCTAAGTCATTAAGAGGAGAGGTTCTGACAGGACTCCTAACTGACGTAGTGATGGAAGAATGGTACAAACTTTAAATTTATTCCATGTTTTTCTCTGTTTAAAGATCTTCTTTTTTAATTTTTTTTTTGCGCCGTTGTTCATCGTTTCTCTGAAGCTGCTGTTTGCGTTAAAGGTCAATCAGCTTCTTCAACAGACAAAGCATCATTTGGTTAATTATCGTAACAACAAAAGGGGAATATCATGGCTTCCAGAAGCAAATAAATGCCTACTCCACAGGGCTGCAGAGCATGCTGTGGACCCTCCTGCAGTTTTGTTGTTTCCCTCCTGGAGGGAACCTGCCAACCCTTCAGTGTTGCCAGTGGAGTCATCTTCTAAAGAGCTGCTGGCCCACATCTACTCTGCTCTGCTCCAACCTGTGGTATGTGTGTTCCTTAAAAATGATGCCTCTTTTGGAGCCTTTTATGACAGAAGGCATTTGTAGGGGCTTATCGTGGCGGACCACCTTCTGGGTGATTGGTTAGCGTTAAGATAAATCCACCCCAATGCTTCTGTTTTCACCTCAGTTGGCATTAAGCTCCCCTGTTCTTTCCGAGCATTACTTTTTGCCTCCTTTGAAGGCATATTTGCTGCTTACAGCTTTCTATTTGCTGCACCATCAGCTTTATGCTATAAAAGCTGATGGAACAGCTGCTTGATTCAGCCAAATCACTCATATAGAAACGAAAAACGTAGCAGAACGTCGTCAATTTACTGATGCTCGTGTTTTTCCACTATCATGCATATGACCGTTTTTGCAGATTCGGTTCTTTGGATTTAGCGTCTTATTCCAATTTTCTCCCCTCTTCAGCCTGAGGTGACTGTGGAAAGCCTGCCGTCCCTGATCTCCCTGGGTAAAGCTCTCCTTCTTCTCTTTGTGGGTGAAGAAGATGATGAGATTGGGCGGAGGCACAACCAGGCACTGGTGGAGGAGCTGGCAACAGTGGTGGAGCAGGGAGGCGCCAAGATGGAGCGATACCTGCCCTGCTGGATCCACCTGTACAGTTTCCATTAATTATATGCAAAAAAACAAACCACTTTATAATTTATTGTAATAAAACTGGAAAATAACACACAGATCTACTCTGTCTGTCTTTCAGTGGCCACACTCCAGCTGGTATGTCTGTTCTGGGGTCGTACCTGGGCTCTATGCCTCCACTTCCTGCCTTGGTGCTCACACATTTACCCAGTGGGGATGAAGTGTACCAGTATCCACCCAGTGCCCCTATACTGGGCTCCTCCGTGCTGCAGTGGCTGCAGAGAGTTGAGGATGGGATGGAATCACCTGCAGGTACTGCGCTGAATAGTGTGCGTCCCTGTCATTTGGGTGAAGGTGGGGGATGGGTGGAGTGAATCCTGATTAAAGGCATGGATCCACGAGGTTCAGTCAAATTGCATCAGATTTTTGCAAATTTTGCTGATTAATATCACCTCAACAGATTATGAAGAAATATTGTGGAGAAATTACTGACCGAAGGGACTTTAAAAACACTGGAAACAAACTTTGTAGTGGTGTAGTAAGCTTCTAAATGCCCCTTAGAAAAATTGGCACAGCACAGAAAAGTTATAGTGAGCATCAAATGCTCACTTTAGGTACTTTTGCATATCCTTTGATCTTGCCACCCTTTATGGTGAGTCACACTGTCCATATGAGAAACCGCCACCTTAATCCATTAGGCTTCATCGTGTCTCTGCAGGGATGCTGGGTGGTGACGGCTGGCCTCCTGCTTTTCAGTTCTACGACTTCCTGAAACTCATGGACATGCCGGAAACCGAGGAGGAAGTGGAGACGGAGGAAGTGGATGTCGAGGAACATTTGGTGACTAAAAGAATTCCAGACGACCAACTGGATATGAAAACTAAACTTCACTCTGAACTTTGACCTTTAAACGACACTACTGACTATTTACTGAAAGCATTATCAATAAGCGGTTATTAAGTTGTATACCAACCTTTCCTGCACTTGAGTGCATATTCTACAGGTGTTACCTTGAAGGTTTCTAAAGCGGCTGTTTCGTTTCCTGGAGTCTGTGGTTTTGCATTCACCGTGATGACAGCAGCTTTATCAGAAGGGGCTTACTTGAACGCTAAATGTCTCCTTTGATATACATCCTCTATGGTTAACCTCAGCTGCTAGTGGAAACTGTCAAACAGCTTAGTATTTTACATATATATATTTTTGTAATAATAAACAGGTACTATTTCTTCACATTTATAGTGGTTTTGATTTCATTTGCATCATTTACCATATTTCTTCTGCCAACACCTTCAGCTTTAAAATGTTTTCATTATGCTTCACTTTAGATGTAGCCACATAAAAAATGGATTCATCTGTCAAATAGGCATTACAGAGTTTTTATAAAATAAAATGGAGAACTGCAGCACTTCGCTCGTACTTGACGTCTTAGAATCTACAAAATCCATCTTGAGTATAAAGCTTTGACTGTTCTCTAGGTTGTACGCACACCTGCCGAACAGTGTGGGAACTCCTGCCTGAAGTAAGTAAAGGAAAATAGGCTAAAGGCTTCTAGATGCATCCGCGCTGAACTAATGAGGTGTTTAGTCTGCTTATCGAACTATGTTGTAAAGGGTCCATTAAAGAGGCTATCGGAAAGATATTTCAAAGTAAAAACTTACATGATGTATCTACTGAAATCATAAACAGATGTTTTAAAGATTTGATGTAGTTCTATCGATTTGCTTTTCTATAGTTCAGAAATCGATATTTAAATGTGTGTCTAAATGTATCTCTAATACCTGAATCTTAAATCTAAACCTTAAAAATCTGTCATAATCTGGCCTGTTTGCTCTCCTTTAATTAGTCATTCCTTTCACCTGTCATTTTCCCTCCCTGCCTCAATTGTAATTTATTGCTCTCACCTGTTTTCTCTTGGTTATATTCAGTTCAGCCTGAGCATTCAGTGCCAGATCATTACTTGTCTTTCTGTTAGTCTGTCTGTTCAGTTTTTGCCTTGGTTAATGTCCTGGATCCTAGCTGCCAGTGGAAAGAGGGTTTTTGTGCTTGTCTCGTCTGCTGATCGTCCACTGTTCCTCCCCCGCGGAGTCCTCTGGGTTTTTGGCTCTATGTGTGGGGAGATTCAGTTTTTATCTCAGTAAGCCTGGCTCCAGGGAGGAGACCAGTTTAAAGTCCTGCATCAAGTTCTGGTTCCACGTCCTGTCTCGGCTACCATCTTCCACTGGGTCTGCTCATCTGCACCTGATCTTTCGGACTCTGTCAGACTCTGAACCCGCCTGGGAGCTTGTGGATGCCTGGAAGTCTGGATCCTGTCACCTGTTCTGTTCCTGCCTGATCTGGACCCTGTTCCTGTCTGTACCTGTCTGCTCTGGATCCCTGACCAGGACCGGCTTCCAGCATGTCCTCTGGGGCTGCAGCACTTGGGGGACATTCTCGGACTGGACTGTTAAACCAGGTAAGTGGCCAACTCAGATAATCATCTTCAATCAGATGATCGTGGTCACTTACCTGTGTTTCTCCCACAGAGAATGTCTGAGATTGGGCGGTGCCCCGCCCCCCTCCTGCAGTGTCCGCGAGCCACAGCTCCACTTTAGTTTTGTTATTTAATGTTTTGAACTTTCCTACTGACTGTCTCTTCTGAATACTGGGTCCATCTGTCTTCTGTTCATGACAAAATCTCCACCTTGGATCTTTTCATGATATGCTAATTAGCCACATCTACGGTAGCTACGGCCACAGCGCATAGACATGCTATTGAAAAGGGGCATTCTTCCCATTCATAATTGCATTCCTATACTTAAAAAAGTTGTTTCCTTTTTTTTTTCTTTTTTTTTTGCAGTATTTGAAGTTGCACCAGATCAGAGTAGGAGTTTGAAGAATGTGGATCTTTGTCAGCAGTGGATGTTTTGTAAGCATCTTTTCTATTGTGGCATTCAGCACAATTACTACTGAAATCTGGTATTTATTTCCTCACTCGTTAGATTTGAGAAACTTTATAGCCTCCTAGATCCATTTTTAGTCATGTTATGTAAAACCCTGGAGCAAAAGGAAGGTTTACTTAATTTTCGCCAAGACTGCAGCTGAATAAACTTAAGTGGATTGTATAAACCTTTTTCTTTCAGCCTCTGACACATCTTTGTTCTTGATTGTTTTATATGCACCCAGAAAACTGAGTTCAAAACAGGAGAACTGTAAGAAAAATAGTGTTTTTAGTGTGCAGGGCTATTTCTCTAAGGATTTGGATGTAATTGACTTTAAATTAATATAATTGTCACATTAGCATCTAAATAGAGGTTTTGTTCTGGGAAAAACTATAGACTATCGCTTATAAAGATCATAATGCATAATAGAATTACTTTATAATACCTCCTTTGCAACCGCCTCCGTTTAACTGGGAAATCTGTTGACTGACTTTTGTCGTGGGAAAAAAGTGTTCAACTATTCACCCTAGTTAAATAAACGGAGATTGATGGATTTCACTTTATCTTTGCAAAGAGAGAGTAAATGAGTAAATAGGATTAATTAATGTATAATAGAAGAGAAATCAAAATTTTCCGACACCACTTTTTAGAAGCCTCCCTTGTATCATGAGCCCATTTTCATCTCAAACATGGACCACAAGTATTTAGACTAGTTTTTAACCTATATACTACGGTGAGAAATAATCTTTGATCTGAAATATTTCATGTGTTTGGATGAGTAACAGCTCTTTCTGTCTCACCAGTCTGCTATGGAGTACCACAGATTCTAGTCCTTGGATCACTTTTCTTTATTTTCTTTTCACTTTCACAGGAATCTCCAGTTATATTCTTAACAGGACTCCTTTTCCATAGCTCTATATTAGGTCAAAGCTCTACAAAACATTGTAAAAGGTGTAAAATAATTGGATGAATTCGTACTTTAAAAAACAATTCTGATTATTGTTATTATAGTTTTGAATAAAAACAATGATTTTATTTGTAAAAAAATAAAAAATCAGGGGTTAAACTTATCCTTGTTGTTTAAAACCAGTGGCCAAAAACATATTGATTTTTTAGAAGGCAGTCCTGAGGCTTTCATTTATTTCTCAGCGTTCGGTTTAAATTTGGCCGGTCAAGTCTGTAAACACAAAATGTCGAGACTGAAAACTCATGAAAAACTCCTATTTTCTTACTTTTGCAGACAACTTCCAGCCTGATTCATCTGTTTGGGTTTTTTCACAAATTAGAACCGGATTAAATCAGGAGTTGCCATCGCTTCAGAGAAAACTCAGCTCGATGTAAAAATTTGTTTTTCCAGAGATCTGAGCTGAAAGGATTTACTGATCTCCTCTTCCTGACAGGAGAGGGCAAACACTGGCTGGAAAATTGGAATTCGTTGCTGATGCTGCATTCTAACATTTTGTTTTCCTTATTTTTCTGGCTTAGGATCTAAGATGTGAATCAAACACACAACAGTGAGGTGTTTGGACGTCCTCGGAGAGGTAACATTTGAGTCATGAAATGACTTTAACAGATATTTTTCACATATAATAGAAAACAGAAACCATGTAACAGATTTCCCATTATATATATATTTATGAATAATCTACCCTGTTCAAATACTCAGAAAACATTACTTGCTTTTGTTTAAATCTGCTGACTGACAGTAACTGGATGGTCTACATGAGATGGAAATTTAGGATGTAGTCTTTTTAAAGCCACTGTTTAGGTTTTACTTAGTTGGTCCACTACAAACTTTGATAGAATAACATTGAATAGGAAACATTTTGAGAAAGTTTTGACTTAAAATCTACTCCAGGTAAAAGTTTAAATAGGAGGACAGATGCTCAAAGCATTAAAAATTCAATGACAGCTGGAAATTGAGTAGAAATTGCAATGTTTACTGTAGGAAAAAACAAGATACCGATACAAACACTAGTTCATTTCTTCTTTGTTTTGTTTTGTTTATGTGCTTCTGTTTGGTAATTTTTTCACTGAATTTAAAGGTTAAGAAAATGTATTTGATTCCGTTTATTTAGATAGCCCCAATTCATAACACATGTCATCTCAAGGCACTTCAGAGACAATGCAGTCAGATCGGTAAAAAGTTTCTTTCGTGGATGACCAGTTGTTTGCATCTTTGATTTCCTCCTATATGAGCATTTGGTGACGATTTTCGCTTACATTTTGTCGTTGACTCTACAGCAATCCCTCACATATAGCATGCACACGGCATCAGTCGAGAGGAAACTCCCCTTTAACAGGAAGAAATTTCAGCAGAACAGGCTTAGTGTGAGCGTCCGTCTGTCAAGGGTTCAAGGAAACAGGAGCAGACATACAAAAAGAATCAAATATACAAAAAAAAAACTGTAAGGCTCCAGGTTCCCGGGAGACAGACAGTCAGAGGACAAGAAATAGGAGAGAGAACATAAAGTTATAGGTTGAACTAACAAATACTGCAGAATTGGAGAATAGATATAGAATGATGAAAAGTGGTCGCTATGTCCTCCAGCAGCCTAAACATATAGCAGCATAAATATAGAAGATAGCTCAGGATATTCTAACTATTCTGGATAAGGTATAAAAAAGGCAGTGCCAAGGAGATTTATTTATACTATTTATGAATATTGGTTATCGGCAATAACGTCAGTACTCATGGACATTGGCGCAGTTACTATAGCGATGGGAAAATTCTCAGAATTTAATAGAGCTCCAGTTTTTGTCACCACCAGCATTCTTCCATCACTGTATTGCATTAGATGTGGACTGAGCCTCTGGGCATTTCTAAATCTTACTGCTGAATGCAGCTCTGTTAGTTCTCTAAGCTACTGCCTGTCACACATTCCTCCTGATCAACACAGACTTTATTATTATTATTCACAATGAAAATACTGTATATATCATGACCTTTATCAGAACCAAAAAGGAATATTTTAAAAACTGCACTGAGTTTGTACATGTGTGTTTAGTCTGATTAGAACAGAATCTGCAGTGTTACATTAGATTTTTGTTATTGTGTGTATTTTAATTTGCTAAGGGACTGCAGATGGGAAATAGCCTCTGCTATATTCTGGTGCAGTGCATAAAATTATTCCATTTTAGCTGTACATTGTCCTTTTTAATTAAATGTTTTATTATAAAAAGTGATAGCATCCTTTAAAAAAAAACGGCTAATTGATAATTTGGTAATATTTTTCTTTTTACTGGCAAAGACGTTGACTTTGTCCGTTTTTACAATTCCAAAAGTTTTGACCACATTTGTTTTTTTTTAATGATTAGTTTTTGTTTGAATGAACTGTCACGTCTTGGTTGTGGTTTAGAGGACCCAAATGCAGAGCCAGAGAGGCTGAGGTGATTTTTTGTAGTTTAATGCAAACAATAATAACAGAGGCAACATCCAAAAATCCAACTAAAAATGTAACACGGACCAGAACCATGGAGACATCAGGGAAAACACGCACAAGGAGCCAAGGAGAGACAAGATGCAAAAACAAGGAACCAACAAGGAGTGACTGCAGAGGGAGAGTAGCTGACTGAGACAAAGGCAGGGCTAACGAGCTGACAAGGAACAGGTGTGAGAGGAGACAACGAGGGAGCCAAGGGGAAAGGAACACACACAAGACGGTAACAGAGGAAAACAAAAGAAAAAACCTGAGAACTAACATAAATCTAGAAACTACAACAAAATAGGAATTAAACCAATAAAACTAGGAAACATGGAGCAAAGTAAAGCACAACAGAACCTAACCATGACATTAACAATATTGAGACAAATTTATCTCCATAGATTTAAAGCTATACAAGGTTTATTAGATTATACTTTTTCATAATAACTGGTGGTTAGAATGTGGTTTACATATTTTAATAATATTTAATAAAAAAAAGTTGATATGACACTGAACTGCCTTTCTCCCTCCCCCGTTCAGGACCTAGAAGCTACACCAACGTAATAATGCTAATAATTGAACTTTATTGATCTCACATTGGAGAAATTTACTCGCGCGATTTACCATTCCGTTGGGGAGCAGTGGGCCTCCATTTTGTTGCGCCCGGGGGGCATGGTGGGGTTAAGGGTCTTGCTCAGGAACCCAGAGTGCAGGCTGTGGGGATCAAACTGGGTACCTGCAACCTTCTCAGAGCACCAGACCTCCTACGTTACATTAACGCACAGATCACTATGCATATAGTACATAGCTATATACTACATATTATATATGGTATATTGTATGTTTTTATGTTGTACATATATCCTGCTTTCTATATACATGTCTAATTTGTCTGAACCATCAACACCAAGTCAAACTCCTTGTAAGTGAAAACCTTCTTGGCAATAAATCTGATTCTGATATGTACTTATAGAATAGAATAGAATAAAATAGAATAGAAAATCCCTTTATTGGGGAAATCACACTGTTACAGCAGCAAAAAGATTATAGAAAAAATGTCACACAAATGTGGACCTTAGAAAATTGTATATATAATTGTTTATTATAAGTTTGTTATATAAGTTTATTATAAGTTGTTTTCTCTGGCAATCCAAAATGTGATTTTAAAAACCCAAGCAGGTCTGCATTGATGCACTTTAAACCAAACAGAGATTTTAAACGCATATTTAAGGCCTCCAGTGCTCCGTACCGAGGTGCCACTCTTTATGAATCCCAGCACATTACTAACAGTAAATCCTTCTTGCTGCTTGGTGAGAAAAATCTGGATTTAATTTCCTCACATTCTTCAGGAAAAACATTTAATTCCCCAGGAACATGCATGACAGATGTATAAATATAATTACGTTTCTATTAGTCAGTGTGGTATTACCTGATGAGTCATTTTCCTGACCTTTACATTGAAATAATTAAAAGATGTTTAAACTTTGAGCAAGGCAATTGTTTCAGTTGTTTTTATAGCAAAACAACCTTTGAATCAAACACAGAACTGAGTCAGTAGACGCTGCGGCACTCGGAGACGTAGCCTAGCTTGATTACGAGGCTGACTTATGCAATCCTACCGGTATATGCTTGTTGGGATAATAGAATGCAGATGCAAAAGGGAGCTATATAAGAAGAAAAAGATGCTGTGGTGGATGGTTTTGTTAAAAAAAAGCTTTCTCTCTCCTGGATTTATTAAATGTTTGTGTGTGACTTTGCTGCAAAAAGGCCAGAGTTGTAGTTCCGATGTAGTAAGTCTGTTTATTTTAGCCAAGACCTAATAGTATTAGTGCATTTGATGGCTGTATTTGGTGCATCTGTTTGTGCAACATAGTAAATTATTATAACCTTCCTGCAGCGGGGTTAATGAGATAAATCCTTCAGGGAATATTTCACAAACATGTCCATGTGTGGGAATATATACTCCCTACTTCAGGAGTATCTGACTCTCAGCTATAATTTTATATAAAAAACAAATATCCTACTGGAGGCCGTTTAATCTGGGTTCTCATAAACATAATTGTGTCAAAGATATCCTTGCTAAGCTAATCCTCATTTCCCCATGATGGTAGAGAAGAGTTAATGTTTTTAAGAAGGTAATTCAAAACATCTCAGATGGATCTGATGAGATTAAGAGTAAAATAGAGGGAAAATCTGAGATTTATAGAGATTAGTTATAAAACAATAGATTAAGAGTAAAATAGAGGGAAAATCTGAGATTTATAGAGATTAGTTACAAAAGAATAGATACTTCTATCAAGTAATAGCCACTAAGCAAGGATCAAAGGCTAAAAGCAGAATTGATTGAAAATAATTCCAGAGAAAAATGTCTTTCAGATCACAGAATACTAAAGTAATTTCAATCCGAGTAAGGATGTTTAAAGCTGTGAGGTCCAATAAAAGGCCCCTGAGGATCTAAGAGGATGTCTGCTGCTCAGATGAAGCTATGGTTTGCATGTCTAATGAGGAGAATATGCAGGAAGTTACAAGAAGCTACTTAATCTCACAAACATAGTTGATTACAATTACAGTCAACTTTATATTTTATTTTACCAAAACAGGACATTACAAGTGTTAACTTCTACCCAGTCCTTTTTTGACAATGGTTCTAAAAATGACATATGGGTTATCTTAAAAATGAGCTTGTCTAAGCTAAGTTTTTTTGTTCCCCAAATGTTACAAACATCTGAAACTCTCCATTACAAAAACCAAAACAGGAGGTTGCAAACATTTGCATGTGTCACACTCAGTACATTTGAAAAAAATAATATATTTTAGTCCATTTGTGAGGTGGGTTGTGCTTATATGTCATATTACGCAAAGGATTGTGGGATTGCTTATTGCTCAGCCTAGTTAGGAAGATCCCCTCCTATGCTAAATGAACTATGATAGGAAGCATACTAGCTCCTTTTCCTTCCTTATCATGCTTCACCTCCTTCTCTACCTTATGCCTGTTCTTTAGACCTACCTTCATTCATTGTTGTCATTTACCACACTGGGAAAATTATCTAGAAATAAGTAAAAATTTCCTACATTTACTCCTTTTACCCTTTATTTTAGCAGGTAAATGGGATAGT